TTAGTCTGTATACTTGCTCCTTTTAAAACAGTATAATAAGGCAAGTAAAAATAAGCATCAGTGACCTGTGAGAGTTATGGTTCTCCTGCAGGACTGTCTGTTCCCAAGGATCACTGTTTAACATTCCTTTTCCCTGCTGTTTTTAGTCTAGATACAGTGTGGCAAGTTGGCCTACTTGTAGATTTGTCTGTGATACTTTTATTAAACACCCACTGATATGAGACATCTTCCTCAAGCACATATTCCTCTTTCCATCAAATTTGATAATACATGATTAGTACTCCAAAAAGTTTTCTGGGCATGTTATTTGGTTCTTGGGGATTCTTTTATTTAAAAAGCTTTTATAACCCCTTGCTGTTTAATTCTTGGAGAAGTTAGGGCCCAATAATTGTGTCATTATTTTTGTGACAGTAGGCTTTTCTTTCAAACTCTATATGACTTCTTGTGAATTCTTTAGAAACCTGTGTGTTCCTTAAAAAAGAGTGAATGACACTTTTACTGTTTTCTTGACCTATCTCCTTACTAGAATGGGCACTCTAGTGAGGATGATTTCTTCACAAGCAATTTAAAACAGATTGTACTACTTTTATCCTGCTGTTTAACAGAATGCAGATTTTTCCTCCTTGGAAATAATGTAGGTTACTGACATTTCAGACCCAAAAATGAAACATAAATTATTATGTCAGTAACTAATTTTACCTATGTTTTTAAAGTTTATTTTTGGTCTTCAATATCTGTAGAAGTTCTGAGATTGGGGATATTTAAATAGAAGCTGTTTTAGACTGGTGAAAACTATCCAAGTCTGAGTACATTGTTATCAGCATCAATAAGAGATGAAGTGATATAGGTTATGGGCAAATTAGAATAGTTGCTTAGAATTTTAACAGTGCTTTATAGTTTTATAAATCTATACAATTTAAAAATATTTTCCACTTAATTATTCACAATTATTAAGTATTTCATTAAGCCCCTAAAAAGAAAAGTTTTTTTAGTCCTAAGAACCAAAAGAGATTGTGTGGCTAGATTATTTTGAAGTATGAGGGAGATTATTTGAAGAAGGCAGAGACTGATCATTTTGTAGTTGTCACAGCTGTTTCTAGACTTTACCTATTGCCTATAGTTCAGCTAAGAGCAGACTTTGCCATTTTTAAACTCTGTTCAATTGCAAAGGAGCAAGTATACAATCAATTGTATTTTGTGTTTGGTCTAATAAGTCTTGTACTAGCTAGTCTCTAACTAGCTGTCAATGAAGCATGCCTTCTGATACTCATACTCTTCCACAGTCAATCTTCTTTAGCCTTGAGACTTATTTTCGCTGATATAGTACTGCAAAAATGATGCTGTGCTGCTCTAGGTAAGACACCTAGGCAGCTTTTGTTTTTGCACTTCTTGAGGACACCTAGGTACTACACTATTCTTTTGTGGTAACCATGTTGAAAAACCACTGAAGATGGAACACCACCGAGAAAGAACAAATAGGGAAGGAGTGTGGCCCCACCACCCTCATATCCCAGCTAAGCCCACCCTTTTCAATATCAAGGTATCAGACAGGTGAGTGCAGCCATCTTGGATGCTCCAACCCCAGCCACCAAATTACTGCTCTCCTGAGCAATTGTAAATAAGATCAAGAGGCTCTCTCATTTTGTAATTTCTCATGACTTATGGAGAAATACAAAATGAATGCTATTATAAGTCACTAACTTTTGGGGTGGTTTGTTCTTTAGTAATAGATATACATAACAGGTGGCTAGAAGAAGTTCTGGGTAGTAACTGTGCAGTTCTCTAGAAATTATAAAACTAATTTAAATAGAGAAATATCTAGTATTTCTGCTCCTAATCTCAAAATCGAATGCAGGAAATACATACGTAAGCAATCATCATAGAGTAAATAGTACCTATGATTTTGTACTTACTTGAGCTCTCAACACTGTTTTACCCTACTGAGTATATAGATTTTCCTTTTTTTTTTTTTAATTGGTTATTCTGTATTTGGGGTAAAAATGGGAGTTCATAACCCACTTGAATCAAATGTATGAAATATGATATGTCAAGAATTTTGTAATGTTTTGTATAGATTTTCCTTATTCTTTCTAATTTTAGCATTTTGTAGTGTGTGTGTATCATGGTTTACTTAACATTTCCCACTGTTAGTGGATATTTGCGTTCTTCCATGTGTGGTTTTTTTTTTTAAATGAGAACAAGGGCTGGGATTGTGGCTCAGCGGTAGGCGCTTGCCTAGCACGGGCGGGACCCAGGTTCGATTCTCAGCACCACATTAAAAAAAAAAAAAAAAGGCATTGTGTTGTGTCCTTCTACAAAAAAAAAAAAAAAAAAAAGAACAAATGTGAATGTTTCCAGGATGATTTCAAATTGCCCTCCATAATGACTTTATCAGTTTTAGTGCCGCCATACTGATCAGACATTTCTGATTTGTCTGAGTATTTAAAAAAGGAGAGAAAAGGCCTTACTACATTTTCCACAACTAAACTTTATTGCCAGTTCTTTTCACATAATAAATTAGTGGGAGAATAACTATTGTATTATGAATATGGAACTAACTACTGTTCAACAAATGAGAGAAATTAATTGAACTAAAGTTTCTTAGTAATAGTGCATGAATATAGAGAATGAGTGGCAAAGACTGATAGAAGGAAAATGGGCCTTTTTATTTTTATGTACTGGGACTTGAACCTAGGGGAGCTTTACTACCAGTTCTTTCTTAAATTTTTATTTATTTTTTAAAATTTTGATATAGGGTTTCCCTAAGTTGCTGAAACTGACCTAAAACTTCTGATCCGCCTGCCTCAGCCTCCTGAGTCACTGAGATTACAGGTGTGAATTGCTGTGCCCAACTGAAAATGGGCTTTGAAAACCTTGGATTTAAATTCTAGCTCTGCCACTTCGTAGTAGTAAATAACAAGCATTTGTAAACTAGGGTCAAAACTATCTTCTTAGAAGAGTGATTATAATAAGTGCCCAAAATTTGGATGTAAATGTTATTTTTTCCTTCTTTCTTTATTATATAAACTCATTTTACTGATTTATACTATTAACTTTGTTCTTACAAGGAAAGGATGTAACGTTGCCTTTTATAAATTTATTTATCTTGAAAACCAGTTTGGAACATGTTGCCAAGTGAGTAAGAATATAAACCTTTAATGAACTACAAGGAATAGTCATTATGGATGCTATTGTCATGACTACCTGTCATGTTTTATATACATTATCTCACTTAAATTTGGAGAATAGGAATAGAATATAATACTTTCAACTTATTGTTGCAGGTTCAAAATGATAGAGTTTGAAAATGGAGTGTTATGTTTGGAACCCAGGTATCTGGCTCGCAGTCTAGTACTCTTTCTTTTAGTACACATTGCCTGATCTTCTTTGATTCCCTCATTGTCCATTTCTTGGGCTCTTTCATATTGCTAGCATATTTATCCTAATGCTCTACCATTAATTACTCAACAACATATTTACTCCCTGCTTTGTGACAGTAATTAGCCTAAGCACTTATTGATACCTTTTTATGCATTTTCATTCAGAGACTATCTTAGATAAAATTTTTTTTGAGTTTATTTGTAAAAATGCTGTTGATATTATTTATGTGTTAAAATGAACCTCAGTGGGGCTGGGGTTGTAGCTCAGTGGTTGAACACTTGCCTAGCATGTGTGAGGCACTGGGTTCAATTCTCAGCACCACATAGAAACAAATAAATAAATAAAAATAAAGGTCCATCAACAACTGAAAAAAAATATTTAAAAAAAATGAACTTCATACTTTTTGTGTGCAGTTACTGTTTTCATTTCCAAAATAGTATAACCTTGTAATTGTGGTGAGAGTGTAGGAAGATGATGAATATTGATGCTGAAAATTTTAGTTCTGTTAGAGAGACAATAATTGGTGGTAGTGTTGTCCTTATAAGAATATTGTCATGACATGGCCAATGAAGAGGAAGATAACAGATATAGATAACCTATTATATAAAACTTTGATATCCAGTTGTGCTTTATGCTATGAATTTGTTTAGAAAGAAAGGTTTTGATACATTAAATGAAGCTGGGGTTTCTAATACAAAGCTAGTTCTAATACAAAAACTAATTCTAATTTGAGGCTCTTGGAACTTATTGTGAATTCTCTGTGGATTTGAATAGTTGATATATTGTTATATAATTTATGAAACTAAGGGTAGATTGGTATGTAAGATCTCATTGTACTCTACCAACAGCAACTCTAGGTATTTAAAATATTTTCACATTGTTTCCTAAAATAAAAACATGCATGTATATGTATGTGCCTAAAGTTTTAATTTATACATGCTAGAGAAATATGTATCTGTGACTGCCATTTTTATAATGTTTGTTAGATTAAAAGTGTGGACAAAAGAAAAAGTGGTTTACACACTCTTTCTTAGAGGATTTGTTATTATAATTCCTTCTCTTTATAATAGTAAAAATGGTAAAAATGTAAGAAATGTCTAAGCATTGCAAGATTGTGGATCTTTCATATTTTTTTATTTTAATGGCTTTTCTTTAAAATTTTTTTCATGCCGAGTTTCTTATCACAACGGTTACATAAGGATTCTGATGTGTGTAAGAACGTTTCATATATGTAATTGATATTACAGGTTGAGTATCCCTGTTCTGAAATGCTTGAAACCAGAAGTATTTTGGATTTTGGAATTTTTCCATATACATGATGAGATACCTTATGAATGAGGCCCACATATAAACAGAAAATTCATTTATTTTTTATATACACCTTTCTATATATAGACTGAAAATAATTCATTATTTGTAGTGCGCCTGTGTTTTGACTGTGACCCCACTTGAGGTTAGGTTTAGAATTTTCCACTTGTGTCATGTCGACACAAAGTTTTGGAGTTTGGAACATTACAGATCTGGATTTTCAGATTAGGGATGCTTAACCTATATCATTTTTTATTGTCCTTTCTTTAAAATCTATGTTAAGGTTTTCTCCATTATATTTTTTTCTGCAGCTCACCAAAGCTCATCGACAGGGACACATGGTGAAAGTAGATTGGCTGGACAGATTGACATTTAGAGAAATAGAAATGATAAATGAGGTGGGTTATATACATCTTTTTTATTTCAGAACATTATTTCTACATCAGTTTTTTGAGAAGAATTGTTTATAGTCAAGTATCTAACACATGTGGGGTTATTGGGCTTAAATGTTTATAGGTGTGAATTCTGTGTTAGTAGAAAACTTGGCATATTGCCTTTCTTAAATTCTAATATATGCTGAATCATGAAATAGTAATTTATATTGTAAATATATTAAATATCATATAAATTTAAATCTGTTGAGTTTTGCTGCCTCACTTGTGTGTTCTCTCTAATGGCAGCTCATGTTTAAGTTCAAGTCAATGTTGGATAAATCTTCCTTTCAGCCCACTGCTTATTTACTCATTTCCATTACCACATATCATCTTAAGAAGTCTTCTCTCCAATTGATGTTATTGTTTCTCTTGTTTCTACATATAGGACTCTGCACCGTTGATAAAGTTATGTGGTTTATGTTTTCCTTCACTTTGTTAATTGTGCCAGTTTTATGACATTATCTTTAAAAGATAACTTCAGTGAGAGTCTTTCTAAATGTTATTTAAGAAAGCTTTCCTTTTTTCTAGATTTGTTTTACAATACCAGATGCTTGGCCTGATTCTTTAGACAAAAATCTAGAGAATAAAAATAACAATTATATTAATCAAATTAGGAAAGAAGAATATCACTGTCTGGCTCATAATGACCACCATAGTCCACAAGTGACTTAATTTATATTCTCTGAACAGTTCTCAGCAGGTAGAAAGCTTTTAATTTTACAATGAACCATTGCTCTTTTTAAAAATGAATTTAGTGGTGATTAACATTTATGTTCATTTGGACTATTGGTTGTCTTTTCTAAATTTATTCATAATCTGTTCTCATGTACAGAAACGTTTACCTTTTCAATTTTTATAATTCTACATTCCAAAAGAAAGTACACCAAAATACTTACTGACTTTCTCTGTATTTCAGTTTCAGTGCATAGAGATGTAGAAAATATGGTGTTGCCCATACTTTCTCATCTTCTGCATCCCCTTTTTTTAAGAGAGACAATCATTACCATTACCACAATAGACTATGATGTGCTGAACGATTTACATAACCTCTTTAAACCTTTATGATTTTATGTATTTCATTTAAAGCCATTTATAAAGCTGGTTTAGATAGGACTAATAACTCTTTTAGACTCCATTTTTTTTTCACTTCATTGTCATACTGTTTGCCTATTTTTTTTTAATAAAGGGGACATATTGACATGAAGAATAAACTTTTTTTATGTTGAAATAAGGAGTAATTATTGCCCAGTGTTGATAAAATTACAAATGAAGGATTGGTAATATAGTCCAAGTTGGTAGAATGCTTGCCAGCATGTTGGAAGTCCTGGGTTTCATCCCCCAGCACCACCAAAAACCCGCCCCCCAAAACACTTTACAAATGACAAGTTGTCTTAAGACAATTTGTAAATTATGAAAAACTTCTAAAAGTTATACTTGGTAAGGTCAAATGGCCTCCTTCTTAGTTATGTACTTTTATTTTTTCTTTTACCTGTTCTTAAAATTTATTAGTTCCTATACAGTTGGATTAGTCTCAGTTTAAGGGTGGATTGTTCTTTTTCCAACATTGTTAGAAATACAAAATACCTTTGCTTTTTAAATAAAACAGTTGTCATGTAGATATATACGGAATGTTTTCAAGACTTTATATTGTAAAATCTGAACTACTGAATCAAAAAAGTTTTATTAAATTTGAGGAGGGAATTGTGAGTGAGTAATAGATACTACTGGGTAAAATAATAGTGATACATATAAAACAGTGCTATATAAAACAGGACATGCATATAATGAAGAAAAATTTGTTACATCTTAAATTGTACTTGATTTATACATTATTTTTGAATTGGGAAAAACAATGCATACTAATTTTTAAGAAAATGTTGAAAGTGATCATTTTTCATAAATTTGTTTTTTCAGAGTGAAAAACGAAGTTCTAATTTCATGTATTTGATGGTTGAATTTCGATGTGTCAAGTGTGATGATAAGGAGTATGGTATTGTTTATTATGAAAAGGTATTTTCCTTGGAACTGTTTGTGGTTTCTGAAGAAGGGGGGAGGGGAAACATTAAAAAAATCACTGTTGTTCCTGCTGAGATGAATTATTTTGTTGCAGGATAGCAGCAGACAGCTGTCAGCAGCAGCTGTTTATGTATACACAAATCAAATCATATAGCTACAATAAGATTACAAAAGCCAATCATTCATGTAATGCAGTTCTGGGTTAAAAAATTCAATAAGTATGCAAGTGGTTAAAAACTTTTTGATTAATTGTTCTACACATTTGCAAGTAGAACACTAAAAAAAAAAGGCTTTATTTAAAGTTATTATTCATTTGAAAAGTAAAAGGGGGAAATCATAGTTTTAAAATCAAGGCAAGGTTTGTTGTTTGAATATATATGTAATATGTTGGAATTCTATATGTAGCCCTAAATGAGTGTACTTATAAAAGACTTTAAATGTGCATTTAGATATATAATATATGCAAAATTTAAAAACTCACATTGCCATTGGGCTGATTTAATAACAAATAACACAGTTATGGGTTTGCCATGGTCTGTTATGAAAAGGAAAATAGTTTTTTGTTTGACATGTATTAGGTACTTGAAAAATATGTACTCTGAAGAAGCTTCATTTAAATACTACAGAAATAATCAAATGTTTAGTTTGAAACCATTTAAACCAGGTATCTTTTATTATGTTGGAAATAGTAGACAAGTCACAGGAAATGAGAACTGACTTTTGATACATAGCATAATTAATATTTATTGTAGCATATAACCAAGTTTGCATAAAGTATCTTTATTTGAAGTGGCACTTTGAATTATACTTACATATTTGTTAATACTGTAACAAATGATTTTTAAATATATGTACTTTTTTTTTTTTTTTGGTACAGTGTATTGAGCCCAAGGAGGGCTTTTTTACTGAAATACATCCCTAGTCCTTTGTATTTTTTATTTGAGGGTGTTGCTGAGTTGCTTAGGGCTTCACTAAATTGCTGAGTATGCCCCTTAACTTGGCAATCCTCTCGCCTCATCTTCCCGACTTGCTGGGATTATAGGTGTGTGCCACAGTGTCTGGTGTGTGTGTGTGTGTGTGTGTGTGTGTGTGTGTCACACTTATTAAACTGTATATTGCTCTTTGAAATTTTTTCATAATAGAAGATTTGGGTTTATTTAGTTTTTGATTACTTTTATAGTTATTTTTCAAGTTAATATTTATGTCTTTCTTTTAGTTTGTATCCTTTTCACTTTGTTGCAGATTAGGAAAAGTTAACAGTTTTTGGTCTTTTAAAAATGATACTGCCTGGTAGAGAACAGAACATAGGAAGATAGATTATATAACACTGTTTAGTGATTTATTAGAAAAGTATGTCCAAAAAAAAAAAAAGGGCTTTTTTGGTCACCAGTACATTTTAATAAAATTGTATTTTATATTTTATACTACATATAATATCATGAAAAGCAGTATTTTCTGCTTATATGGAGCTTACATTGCAAAAACATGCTAATGGAGGGTGAAGGATCTTTTGAAAGACAGCTTTGATAATAGATGAAATAATAACAGAATAGAAATTAGAAGAATTTCAAGTATTTTTGAAAAGGTTCTTGACCCCTTTCTACTGCTTCCAGAAAATTGGTTGTAAATTAATGCCTGTCTGCCCATCCTGTCATATTTCCACTTAGTGTAAAGATTGCTGGGCCAGTGTATTGAATCTAATGGAAATAGACTTTCTTGTCACCTGTCTTTTGTGACAGATAGCCTTAGTGAAGATTACTTGTCACAGTTGGGCTGATTAATGTGTTTTCTGGTTTTGTGACTGAGAACAAGCCTGTTAAACAACAGCTGTGGGAATTTGTGGTTTTCTGTAAGACTCAATTACTGAACTAAAGTTAAGTCACAATAGTTCCCCTCTTGCAGTCTCTCCTGATTTTGTTGAATGTACCTAAAATTGAAAACTTACTAGCATTTGGAAATTGACAGAAAAGTTTGATGCTGGTATAGAATCATGAGGAAATGAATTCCAACCTTAATTAGTTTAGCCTTTTCCAGAATATTTGGCAGTGACATTTATTATGCTAAATTACCTCCATGCCTGAATAGGATAAAAATAAAAGCCAGCATTCTTCAAAAATAACACCAACAAAATGAGACAGCTTTATTTCTTAAGAATTGATTGATTGATTTTTATTATTTAAGTTTACATTGTGTTGTTCCTCTAAGGAGCAGTATTTCTGTATCTCTAGCTATGTATAAATTTGAGTAACATTAACCCTACACTTAAAATTCCATTCCTTTCAGTGAATCTCAGTTGTGATCCCTTGAAAAGTTAATAGCATTTATGTGGTTTTTGGAAATGTTTGAAACACATCAGTTGTGCCACACTTTAATTGTGCTCTATAATTTCATTTTTCCAAGTTTGAGTATTAGGATTTTTATTTTTGATGAACTGTCATAATAAATTCTTTAAAAAATAAAGCAATAAAAACATTTGCTAATTTTCATATCTCCATATCTCTGCAAATGTAATTTTTATTAGATTTTATTTTTTTCCAAAATATCAGTAACCAAAGATATGAAAATATATTTTCTAAGATAGGTGAAAAAAGAGAAGGATTACTATTACTATTGTAGTTATTGTTATTATTTTTGGTACCAGGGAATGAACCCATGGGCGCTTTATAACTGAGCCACATCCCCAGCCCTTTTTTTTTTTTTTTTTTTAAATTGAGAGACAAGGTCTCCCTGAGTTGTTTAGGCTCTCATTCAGTTGCTGAGTGAGGCTGGTTTTGAATTTGAGATTCTCCTGCCTCAGCCTCCTGAGCCACTGGGATATAGGCATGCACCACTGGGCCTGGCAGGATAAGGATTTTTTTGTAGGAAAGAATGATGCTTATTGAATAGAATTAAAATATAGTATATAGCATTATGTTTTACTTTTTATCATTTGGCTAAAGTTCTTTTCTTTTTTCATTTCTTGCACTATAATCCAGGATGGTGATGAGTCATCTCCAATTTTAACAAGCTTTGAATTAGTGAAAGTTCCTGACCCTCAGATGTCTATGGTAATTCTGTTGTGTAATTTTTTAATGGAAGTACTTTTCTCCTTAATAATTATGACTTAGACCCATAAAGTGCATTTTTCTTTTGAAAAAGTAATATGTATCCACTTCAATTAGCTAGAAGTGATTTTATAAGTCTACTTTAGCTACTAGGATCAGATATCAAATGGAAATTTCACAAGGTACACTGACATCTTAAAAACAAGGTCAGGATAATATAGAGTTAGGAATCCCTTTTAAAAGAGGTGGGGAATGTTGTTGTTAGAGTGGGAACTTATTAGAATAGGTATTTGAAAGATGGTCATTATACAGAAGAAAAATTTGTATAATTAGGATCTGACAGCTTCGATTAATGGATGAGCATCTTTGGAAGATAGACTTTGTTGTAAAATAAGGAAGATGGTTGTAGCAACTAGAACTACTGATATATAAAGAGCTCTAAAAAGTTGAAGAACAAATGATCAAAATCAGAAGTTAGGAAAAAGACATGAACAGACAATTCACACACCTGCAGTCAACTAATAAAATAAATGTATTAAGAAATCAAAGGAAATATAAAAACACACATATTTTCTTAAGCAATAATAATGTGGTTAAAACTGATGATGTTGACCATGAGTAAAACAGTCAACACCAGAAGTTTTAAGAAGCTGACATGGCATGTGCATATTATGACACTAGTAGAGCTTAAGTCATTCATAGTTTTCCACTCTTGAAATGGGTACATATTATTTAAAGATATATAAGGGACTAAAATTGTCCTAAAATAAAATGTTAAGTATTATAAAATGATTTTAAGTAAGCAACCATTTTATATTTCTGACTAGATAGCTATCGAGTTTTCTTTTTTTGTGAAGTTTACATTATCAGTATTTTAAAATAATTTATAGGAGAATTTAGTTGAAAGCAAACACCACAAGCTTGCCCGGAGTTTAAGAAGTGGACCTTCTGACCATGATCTCAAACCCAATGCTGCCACGAGAGATCAGCTAAATGTAAGACACTTATAAAATATGAATATAAAAATAGTTTGATGGGTATTTCAGTGGCAACTGATGGTACATTAGTTTAACAATGACTTAGATACACATCTTTTCCATGTTGATCAGCCCTATATAATGTCAACACTCTTCATGTCTGCATTTAAACAAAATTATGTGGGGGCTTTTAGTAAATGTATTTACTCTAGAAATAGCTACAAATAGTTTTTACTTTCACAATGTAGCATTGTTAGAACATGGCTCTAAGACATTGCCTGAGAGACAAGATGATGTGTAAATGTGCATTGTTGTAGGTATTGAGTTGATAAGAGTTTGCTTTACTTTTTGTTCTTCCTTTTTTGTGATGGGGCATCATTTGTTTTGTTTTTAGTTGAAGTAAATGAACTTTGTAGTTATGTACTTACATATGAAGTATGACATTTTCATCTTCTTTTTCTCCTTACATCCTGGATAGATACCTATGGCAAATTTAAGTGTTGCTTGGCTGAATGTACCTTCTTGCTTGTATAGTGATTGAATTATTGAAATATTTAATAAATGAAAAATATTAAATGGAAATATATAGGAAGTACATATTTGACAAAGGAGTTCTTTTTCTGCTTTTTTATAGATTATTGTGAGTTATCCACCAACCAAACAACTTACATATGAAGAACAAGATCTTGTTTGGAAGTTTAGATATTATCTTACCAATCAAGAAAAAGTGAGTGTCTTGAATATTGTCAGAATTTTTTAGGAATGATCAAGATGAGGTAAAAGTGCAATCAAAATGCAGTTATTATCAACTTATAATTATTACAGAGAAATATATCTGATATTCCATTGGGGGAGAAAAATAAAGAGGTAGCACAGGGCATGTTTATGTTTGTTGATGCATAGACAATATCTGAATGGGTTTTGAAGTCAGAGAGTCTTGGATTCAGTTTCTGAAAACAACAACTTGTATATGTTAGAAAGAAGTAAATTACTTTTTGTTATTATTCTAGTGGAGACAGCTTTCTTTCACAGGTGAGATAATATAAATGAATAACCTACCAGAGCGCCTGGTATGTTCTTTGTGTAGAGTGACTATTATTGTTTTATATCTCATTGTTCTTACCTCTTTGAATTTGGACTAATAGGAAAATGTTTACACTATTAAAAGAACTATAGAATTCTGGAGTTGTGGCTAGAGGGAAAATAAGAACATAAATGAAAAGGTAGAAATTGAGTCAGTGAAGTGGCAAGCAGAATAGAGGTTCGGTGATTTGAGATGTTTGATTTCCATAGTGAAACCATGGAGTGGATAGTTTCTGGAGAAAGAAGTGATGAAGTCATTAGCCCTAAGTTTGAGTCTAGAGATTTGGTTTTGAATCTTCTTAGCATTACCAAGAAGCTTTTTTAATTTGGGCAAATTATTTCACCTTTTTAAGCTTTAGTTTCCTCATGTTAAATATGAGATTATTAATTGGTAGTATGAATTTTATGTCTCTTTTGGTTCTTAGTATAGTCTGTAATGCTTTATGATAAATGGCCAAGTATTAACTTTTGAAGTATAAAAATAATAACCAGCATTTATTTAAACAGCTACTGTATGCCAGGGATCTTTTAAATTCCATAATAACCCCACAATGTGCACAATGCTGACACTGTTCTACAGATGAAGAAACTTGTTCTTTAGAGAGATTGAGGAATGTTTGAAGAATCACAAAGCTTATACATGGTGCCTCTGGATATGCTTGATGAGATAGAAGAGAAGTGAGTTAGTGAAGACAAGAAAGGAGAATTTGTAGAGAAAACGTTTCCAACATTATGTGGAAGATTTCCTTAGCAGGAATGCTGAAGAGCATTAGGAGCAGAGCAGAGAAGCTTTAGAAAAAATAATATCTGTCAGGAAGCTGTTACATAATTATGTGAAGATGAATTAATATGTTTTACAGTCTCATGAGATGGTTTTTAGCTACTTTGTTTTAATTTATTTTTCTGAACTCATTTTCCTTTCTTTAGCTTCTGAAGTAAAGATAAAAATCTGGTTACAGCTGATCTTGACTCTTGATCTTTTCTTTTTATCATTTATTGATACCATGGGAAATTCTTTGTAGATGAATCATATTTATTCTCCTTTATATCCATAGTAAGAATGAGAGAGGAATTGGAGATTTACTATAGCTTTGAGTGTTATTTTCTTCGTCACTGAAGGAAAGGAAATATTCATCAACGGAAACACAGGTTTCTGATTTCATTTTATAAAGATTAAGTTAGTATCATGATACTGTGTTAAATGAAGAGTAACCTTGGTCACAGAAATTGCGTCTTGAATGCAGCACAGTGTTGTCTAAAACACACAGCAGGATATTGAATTAAACCTGTTAGGATGTATAGGTTCAAGAAGCATAGAATAGATTTACAGAGCAGAACTTTCTTAGAAAAGCTTGCAAGAAAAATTGTTTGTTTAAACAAGTAGTCACTTCCCACTGAAATTCAATTACTTCTAGATATGTGCAAAAGAAATAAAGTGCTCAAGTGATATAAAGTGTGTGGCAAGTTTCATTTAACTAGTTGATTTCAAGTTTTCGAAAGGTGGTGATGAAACTTCAATTCTCAGGACATATTACAGGATTCTTAATGATGCCTAGAGTAGAGTGAAAGATATTTTTTAATTTGGGGGAAGAACTTTTGAGTAAACCAAATGTATATTGGCCTTGAAGTGACCAGAGGAATTATTTACACAGCCACATTTGTATCCTTGTAATAATTTAAAATGGGTTTTGTAGAAAACAAATAGCCCCACAAACCACTCCTTAATTCATTTACACAAAGACATTCTTTTAATGTTAGGTTCTCAGAAATTGTGATTTAGCATTTGGGCTCAGCAGCTAAAGAGCTTTCCTAGAGAAAAGGCAGTGCTCAGAAAAGAAATTGGAGAAAATTGGTTCTTACAAAGTTTTTCTTTTTTTTTTAAACTAAATTTGGTCTTTCTACCTATTTTTTTCTATATGGCTTGTCTTGAATATTCTGGATAAAATCCTCTACTCTGGACATGATGTTGTCCATAAAGTTTACATTAATAAATTAATCTAATAAAATTATTTCCAGTTGTAGTCCACAATAGATAGGAAGTGACTTATTTTTTTTGTAGACCCCAAAATGTAAATGTTGTGATTTTTTTTTAAAGCTATCTTTCATAGTAGCTTTTCTTTACAAAGTGTTGGTTGAAAATAATTGTCATATTAACTTCATGATCTTGATTATGCCTTGGAGAAGAAGCTATTGGAAGAGTCACATATAGTGAAGATAATGGTGATGCACTTGCTTGTTCTTAGGAGGCTTCTTCTGAGACAGTGACTATAGGACAGTAATCATATCTGTGTCTATTAATAAGAAGTTGATGCAGAATCATAGCTGAAGTTCAACAAGCATTTATTCACTTTTTGCCTAGCATTGTACAAGGCTCTAGGTATTATGTCCACATATTATATAAATGAAATTTGTTTTAGGCAAAGGATGTTTTCACATTAATATGGAGAAGTATGGGGATAGTAATTAAGGGTGACTCTTTTAGTAAAAATGAAGGTGATTGTTGTAATGGAAATATTAAATGTAGCAGGATTGTTATGGTGTGGTGTGAGGAAAAATTGTGCTTAAATTTGAACATACTCTGATGACATTATTTACTTGGTGATCATTTTTTCATGGAGAAGCTAACAATGAGTAAGGCAGTCTGTTCAGAAAACAATAGTTAGTATGAAAGGTTATTTAAAGAAAAGAAGGCACCAGATTGTTTTGGTTCTTGAGTTTAGCCCTTGGGAATTGGATTTTATAGCCAACACGAAACTACTAATGTCTTAAGTGATATTTTAGGAAGATGAATTTAAGCACTTTGGAGTGAAGCCGACAAGTTATTAAAAAGACATAATTAGGGCTGGGGATATAGCTCAGTTGGTAGAGTGCTTGCCTTGCATGCACAAGGCCCTGGGTTCAATCCTCAGCACCATTAAAAAAGAAAGAAAGAAAGAAAGAATTAAGAGGCTCATGTACTGATTTATAGAGCAATGGTGAAGGGCAAGGGAGTGGGAGGAAAATGTACAACAAAGTTGACTTAGAGACAAGTTGCAGAGGTTAGGCCCAAGTATCAGAAATAAGGAAATAGGGTATGTGGAAAGACAGATGAGGATATGTTTTCAGTTTTGAATATTTTGAATTGGAAGTATTGGAAGAAGAACAAAGTAGAAACTTCTAATAATTGAGTTGGGTAGCAGTTAAACCTAAAAATATATATATATATATATATATATATATATATATAGTAAATATAGTATTTTTGGCATTGATGTAATTGTGATTCTGGTAGTAGGAGATAATAGGTAATTCTAAGATCCAGAGGAGAGATTATCAGAATTATTAATATGAAATATTATAATAAATGCAGTAAAATGAACATTTGATACTAGACTTAACATACAAAATAGAATAACAATAAGTGAAAATAAAATGATGAACATTTTTCAAAGTATTTATTATATGGAAGCCACTGTTCTAAATGTTTTACTTTCATTAACTTATTTAATCTTCATCATAATCTAATGAGATAGGTTCCTTAGAAGTTAAATTATGTGATTCAGCTAATATACTGACATATTCAGGAATTAGGATTTGAACCCAGACACCCCGGCTCAAATAAAATTTCATTTAAATCCTGTATCTTTACATAGATGAATAAAGCATTTTTGAAAGAGCAGGCCTAGGATAAATTTTCATCATTATTCTTGTCTTCAAATTATTATTCTTTCTTATTTTCCTTGTTCCCTTCTTCATTTCCTTACCTCTTTGTTTATTGTTTGTAACAGTTATCATTATAAAGTTATGATTTTTTTTGTACAGTGTGGTTAATTCCTTGGCAGCAGTGTGCACTAAATTTTATTAATAAATATATAAACTGGAAAAAATCTAGGAATTAGATTGTTTTAGTTGTTGAATCAAGTTCATTGGCATGTTGTAAGATAAATGCCTACCTACTCATTCCTATTAAGACTGTTGATGTACTACGAAATGGAAAAGCTTGTGAAAAAAAAAAAAAAAAGCTTGTGAAAACTTCAGTGCTGCCTATCTAAAGAAGTAAGCTTCCAAAAAGATGCTGCAGTCTGTTGAATCAGACTATCTCTTGCTGCATTTGTACTTATCCATTTTGATGCTTTTTTTTTTTTTTGAGATTTTGTTGGATTGCATGTCGTTTTTTTTTCAAGTAGTTACTTCTCAGACATTTATTCTTGTTTCAGTCCCTATGGGTGGGAATGTAGGAAAGCCAGTGATCATACCCAAGGGAGATGATTGAGAGTGAGACTAGTGGTGGGAGTGTCTACCTTGCTTGTTTGCTGTATTTTGTGACACACTGTTGATACTGCCTCACAACCCTTGATTTTTCTTAACCCACGCAATAGGATGCTATTTCTAATTTTAAAATCTTTTCTGATTTTAGGCTTTGACAAAATTCTTGAAATGTGTTAATTGGGATCTACCTCAGGAGGCCAAACAGGCATTGGAACTTCTGGGAAAATGGAAGCCAATGGATGTAGAAGATTCCTTGGAACTGTTGTCTTCTCATTACACCAATCCTACAGTGAGGCGTTATGCTGTGGCCCGGCTCCGACAGGCTGATGATGAGGTGTGTTATTATTCATTACTTCTGTCTTGACTAGGTACATTTTCAACTAGAGCCTAAGTATAGACTATATATGTATGTATGTGTATATATATATATATATATATATATATATATATATATATATATGTGTGGGGGGGTGGGGCATAGTGTAAGCACTTGTGAGCACATGCACAGAGATTTTTTTAGAAGGGTAGAGGATATACTGGGTGTATTTTCAGAAGTAAAATTAAAATATTCCTCCAAGGACTCCTCTGTGAAATGAAAATTTACTTCCTGATCTGTTATGTGATAGGACAATCTCTCCCAAGGCACCTACCTGGCAGCAGAGCTTGTATTGCTCTGTCTGGAAAAAGGAATTCTAATGAAAAATGGTTTAATGTAGCACCGGCTAGGGAATAATTCAGATCCCCTCTATCAGTCAGTATACAACAAGCCACATTTAATTGTGGCCTTGAAAAGCTTTGGGGCCTTTAAAGCACAAAGATGCATGGTCATCTTAACTCTCCTTCAACTCCTCCTTTAAACTTTAAGCTGCTTACAGTTATGTGTACATGTGAATATTTATACACATGTGAGGCCATTAGGAAGGAAGAAACACTAGTTAACACAGAGCATTGCTGGAGTTTGAGTGTTAGCAATTCCCAATTCCCCAGTTTGTTTATTTATTTATTTATTGTTGGTACTGGGGATTGAATTTAGGGGCACTTAACCACTGGGCCACATCCCTAGCCCTATTTTGTATTTTTATTAGCGACAGGGTCTCACTGAATTGCTTAGCGCCTCGCTGTTGCTGAGGCTGACTTTGAACTCAGGATCCTTGTCTAAGCCTCCTGAGATGCTGGGATTACAAGTGTGTGCCACCGTGCTCCACCTGACTGTTTGCAATTTCTAGTGAAGTAAACTAGTCCATCAGATTTTCTTTTTATAGGGTGAATGCACCCTGAAACGTAACCTAATAATTTATGATAAGGCTTATGGGGCATGAAATAACTCCTCTGAAGTCTCAAAAGAAAAAAAAATGTGTGTGTGTGTGTGTGTGTGTGTGTGTGTGTGTATGAATGCTGATCACATGGAACAACTATTGACAATGATCTCTAGAAAAACAAAAATAGTGAAATCATTTTGAATTAGTAATTGCTTCTGAATTTCAAGAAGCAAATGAACCATTATTAAAATCTAATTCTATGTAGGTATTTAATTAAAGTAAATTTCAAACAATAAAATAAATAATATAGTGAACCCTCCCATATAATTCATCCTTCTTTACCAGTTGTGATCTATAGAGCCACTTATTTTGTGATGCCCTCTTACTTCTGACCAATTGACTACAAATTAGGGGTTCTTGGGATCCCCTCTTGGGTTGGATATTTTATTATCCCGACTTGTAAAAATCAGGGAAACATTACTTCCTTTTGCTTATTTATTACTAAGGATGCTTTAAAGGGTACAAATGAGCAGACAGATGAAGGATACAAATGACCAGACATTGTGGGAAGACCTGAGCACAGGAACTTTAGTTCCCAAGTGGTTGGGATACCCCATCCTCCTGCTATCTAGACACATTCTTGTTCACCAATCTGGAAGCTTTTTAAATCCTGTTATTTTTAATTTTTATGGATCCATCATTATAAGGTATAATTGATGAAATCACTGGCCATTGGTGATTAAGTCATTAAGTCATTTTCCCCATATCCTAGAGGTTTCAACCTTCCAATCACATGGCCACTTTGGCAGGCTGCTACCATCTGCAGTGACTTTCCAAAAGTTACCTTATTAAAATTAACTCAGGTGTGGTTGAAAGGGGCCTGATAGTCTCCTTTCACCTGTGCAACTCTTTATTAGTTAGGAATTATTAGTTTTAAGGGATCTGACTAGGAACCAGAGATGTAGACCAAATATATTTCTTTGATATAACAGTGTCCAATGTAGTTTCTAATATATTTTTATTAATTATAATAATATGCATGTGTATTATCTGCACTGTCACTTAAAGATAATATAAATAGGATTATACTATTAAAAACTTTATTATTAAATGGAAAGTTTATCTTGGATGTTTTTTTATTATATATAATTCCCACCTATAAAGTGTGGAAGCATCGGTAAACAATTGTCTATGAAATGGTGAAGGATGTTTAATCTCTTAAAAAATATACTGTGTTCTAGATTTTATAGACAACTATTGTAGGGAATAAAAAAACAAAACAAAACATTTTTCCTCCTAGATTTTTGGCTAGAGATCTAGCCAAAAGAAAATTAACAAGATAAATCTGCAAATTTATTAAACAAGGTTTATATGACACGGGAACCTTCGTAATTAAATAAAAACCTGAGAAAACGATAAAACCTGAGCATTTTTATAGTAGGTTTAATGAAAGGGGGAAAGTCACAGAAAATGTTATAGAACAAAAGAAGGAAGAAAAGCCAAGAGTAGTAAATGGAGAAAGAAGAGCATGTTTATTGAGAGAGCTCTCTGTGTTGTGTCCCTTTGTCTTAAGATAAAAGTGCCTCCAGGTGTAGGAAGGGCTCTTTTCACCTTAGACAGTTCAGAAGAACACCAGAGAGTCATTTCTGCCCCTGCTTTTTCTCAAACTTAAAATATTTGGATTTGACTCAAATATTCAGTTGAAATATTTGAATGCTGAGGTGCTATATTTGATGTATTCTGAAACCTGTAGATCTACCTTATTCTTTTTGAACAATAGCATAATATTGCACTATGAGTTTATTTTATAATTTTAATTTTAACATTGAGCTTCTTCATGTAGGTAGGCAGGCAGTTATTTTCAGTCTTTTAATATAATTGTGTGTGTATGTATGAATTGTTTGCATTGGAATTATTGGTTCAAAAGATACAATTTTACCATCTTGCTGATAACCCTCTATAAGTCTTCTATTTTTGTGCCTGTATCGTACTTTTAAAACTACACCAGCTTTGTAGTACTTTAAATGTATGATTAGATATTCTTTCCTTCTCTTACTTTTTAAAAACTTTCTTTTTAGTTTTTGGATATTGCTTTCCATGAAATTTAGAATGGTTTTGTCATTTTCTTATACAATTTTACCAGTCTTGAGTTGAATTAGAAAAATATTTTATCTTAATGATATCAAATTCTCTTTTTTAGCTACATAAGATTTTTTTATTCATGCACATCAGGAATCATTTACAGTTATAAATGGCCTCATCCCTTTTCAATCTTTTATTTTGCTTCTCTTTAATTACATATGTGATATAATATTTGTTTTATTTTAGTCACTTAATCCATTTCTCTTAATGATTCTAAAAGACCAGGTGGGGTTCTCATATTTCTTAGATGTAGAACCATGCTATCCAAAAAATATCCTTTTTTCAAAAATATGTTATTTTCCTTTCATTACATCAAATGTGCTAATAATAATGATGAATAAAAATAGTGATAGTGAATAATGAATTATAAAAGTGATAGCTGTTGATCATTTTATGGGAATACTTTAATATTTTACTCTCTAATGTGTATTTCTTACTGGTTTTAGTCAAATACTCTTATTTATGTTGAGAAAATTTCTTTTTGTCTGTGCTTATGAGTATGTTTAAATAAAAAATGGCTTTATTATCATTCTTTTGGCACTTGTTAATATGGCCTCTGACCTTTAAATTGTTAGATAGTCTATTTACTAAAAGGTTTTTTCTTTTTTTTAATTTCCTAAAGTTTTATGAAGCATATACTTGGAAAATACATTTTTAACACCTTTTTAAATTTAATTTGATAATATTCAATTCTACTTTTAATAAGTCCTCTTACTGTTGTTTTGTTCATAGTGAAGTTCTGCATTAGAATTTAATGAGGAAGTAGCCTGGTGCAGTGGTGCATGCCTATAATCCCAGCACTCCAGAGGCTGAGGTGGGAAGATCCTGAGTTCAGAGCCAGTCTCAGCAACTTATCGAGGCCCTAAGCAATTTGATTTGAGTAAAATCAAAGCAAAAATTTAAAAAACAAAAAACAAAAATTAGGTTTCCATCTCAGGCAATTCAGTAAAAATTTCCCAGGAGTTATAACATTTTATCAAGGCAGAGATCACCATTTTTCTAAAGAACAAGTTAATTCTAATACTTCAGAGTGTGAATACAAAGCTTCACATCAAAATCACTCACTGTCTTCCCATTCCTTATTGAATATAGAGTAACTCTTCATATAGGCATTTTCAGTTAGTGACATGGGTTCTAATTTTGCCTTTATAACAGCTACATACCCATGCTCTTTTGGAAGTGAAGTATTTTCTGTTTCTCCTACACTTTTGAATCTCCTTGCTTTTGCTTATATTGCTCTTTCTACTTGGAATATAAGCTTCAAACTATGAAAATTTTAAACTTCTATCAGTGTTGATCTCAGATGTCACTTGCTCATTAAATTATTATTATTATTTTTTAATTTTTTGTTTTTGTTGTTGGTAGTGGTACCAGGGATTGAATTCAGGAGTGCTTAACCACCACCTAGCCCTTTTTTATATTTTATTAGAAAAAGGGTCCCACTGAGGTGAGTAAAATCAAAGCAAAAAATAAAAAAAAATTATCCTTCATACTCGGAAGAATTTTATATTTTTCAAGATGTGATTATGTAACAAGAAAGTAGGCTTTATATTTAACTAATGACATCAGTTCATTTTATTTTAATATTAATGAGAAAAGATTATGAAACAAATTCTTGGAAAATTTGAAAATTTGAAGTTGCTTATGTAGTAATTTTTATTTATTTATTTATTTATTTTTAAAGAGAGAGATAATTTTTTTAATATTTATTTTTCAGTTTCTGTGGGCACAACATCTTTATTTTTATGTGGTGCTAAGGATCAAACCCAGCGCCCCACGCATGTTAGGCGAGCATGTTACCACTTGAGTCACATCTCCAGCCCTGTAGTAATTTTTGAAATAGCATTTATCTAATCTGCTAGGAAAAAGAATCTTTCTTTACATTTCTTAGTTCACATAAACCATCCACAGTTTTATTTTATTTTATGCTTTTCCGATGCTACTTGCTGTGTGCCTAATCCTCTTCTGTAGCTTTCTTTTGTTAACTAATTTAATGCTCATGACTCTCTCTCCTGTTTTTATTATGTTCATTTTATAGCTAAGAATGCAGTGAGGCACCAAGAGGTTAATTATCCTAGTAACATACCAAAGGTGACACAGCTGAAAAATAGTAGATAAAAGTAAAATGTTAGCTTGACATTTAGGAATAAATTTTGTCTCTAATTATTTTTTTCCTAATATTAGCTTTTTTTTTTTTTTTTTGGGTTTATTTTTCAGGATTTGTTGATGTACTTACTGCAGCTGGTTCAGGCTCTCAAATATGAAAATTTTGATGACATAAAGAATGGATTGGAACCTACCAAAAAGGATAGTCAGGGCTCAGTATCAGAGAATTTGTCGAATTCTGGAATAAATTCTGCAGAAATAGATAGGTATGGATATTCATGGAGGATGTGCTTTAAAATTTGATCATTTTCTCCCTGGTCAAGTTGTTGCCTTCTTTACTTTTTTCCCAGATGTACCAAACCCAAACTCTATTGCTTTTGTGGATTATGGCATATACATTCATTGAGCACAAATTACTGTTTTATAGAGCAGATTTTTGTAAGCTATTAAGTCAGAATACCTTAGTTAAAATCTCAATTCTGCCATTTAGCAAACTTGTTTAAGTTACATTTTTTTTGTGGCCCCACTTTTCATAATAAAATTTAGTATAGCATTAGTAACTGATTATAAAAGGTTGTGTGAAGATTAAATGAATTAAGACATAAAGCATTTAAAAGATGGTCTAGCATATATGTTCAGTAAGTGTCAGCGACTATTACGATTCTTATTAAAATATGTTCATTTGAGCAGGTTAGTTGGCTCAAGTAGTTTAATGAAATGTATTTTTTAGTTAGTTGTTTTCATCTTTTTTGGTATATTAAACAGCATGTTATTTGGACTGAAAGTCAGCTATTAAAAATGGTAACAACTAAAAAGTCCCATCTGTGTACCTGACCCAGTGCCAAGTGTCAACTGTGTACCTGACCCAGTGTCACCTAAGTATGACAGTCTCTGAGGTTGATATTTATATCCTTAATTTAGAGATGAAGGATATAACGTTAAGTAAATTGCTCAGGCTTATGTCTTACAAATTGTCATTGACTCCCAAATTCTTCTGCTTTGCCACTTCTTTTTTATAAAATTTTAAAAATGTGAAATAAATGGGATATTCTGTTGAAATAAAAAAAGTGAGGTAGGAATGATATAAAATGTAAAGGTGAGGAAACTAATAATGAACAAACTAGATTTAGAATTCAGATTTCCTGAATCAGTTCAGTCATTTATTTTATTGTCCCAAGATTGGAAATCTGAATTTTTATTCATGTATTTGATACTGCTATGCTCTATCTTCTGTATGTACAAAGAGCTGGAAAACAGGAAAACACTAAATCTGTTTCCCATTACTGCTAAATATTTCTATAGTTTTAAGAGAAGAAACCCTTATGTTTACTCCCACTGTAGATTGGAGCCCTTCAGTCTCAAGTCATTCTTACCTGCCTAATCTTTACTTATGCCACCTTTACTTGTGCCACCATGAAAGACAAACTAGTAAAGGTCTTTTCAAGATTTTATGAGAGGATGCAAACTGTAAACCAATATTTCCCAAATTGTGGTTGGCTAGGCACTTATTCTATGTGATTTTTAAGAAGATCAAAGTGGTAGGGATGATCTTGTGGTCAAATATGATTGGAGAAGGCAGGTTTAATGTTAAATGGTCTTAAACAAAAATACAACCAAGTCAAACAAATCAGAATGTAACCCTGTAGTATTTACGAAAACCTCTGCAAACATGCAGACTTGCACATAAATCTCCAAGATACTGTTACCCATAATCTTTGACCTTGGAGGTTTTTTCCCCTGGAATATAATGTGATTCTAGCGTTGCACAAAAGAAAACTTTAGGAAGTGATGCATTAACCAGGCACAATCAAAGTGAATTCTTAAAAAAAAAAAAAAAAGTGTTTTATCTTAGAGTATGTTTCAGTGATCTCTCCTAATTACTTTTTCAGCTCACAAATTATAACCAGCCCTCTTCCTCCAGTGTCTTCCCCTCCTCCTGCATCTAAAACAAAAGAAGTTTCGGATGGTGAAAATCTGGAGGTGAGTACAAAGCTTTTCAAGCTTGCTATAGGAGAGATCCTACCAAATAAACATCTTACGTTGGTCTTCAAAACCTTTATTTTGTTTAATCTAAGTAACTTTGTTAAATAACTTAACTTTATGATACATGTTTATGACTTTTCCCCTCAGTATAATGTGCTGGATAATATTCAATTCATTTTATTGGTGCTTTGGGCATATAAATGGATTCATATGCAATGTGAAAATAAACTAGGCTTAAATATTTTATTAGGGAAACCGAATATTTATGGTTAATGCATTTATGAACAGGATTGCAATTGTCAGTGTGATTACATTGTAGAAATGTACAACTTTGGCACTAGGGATACTATACTGAGTGTCTGCTTTTAATTCTACAGGTAGGTGGACTCATTTTCGATGTAAAACAGTTCTCTTTCTTAGGCTAGTACTACTCTGAAAGGTTTATTTGGAAGTGCATTCTAAAAGCTGATCTAGAACATATTGTTAAATTTGTCCCCATAACTTTTAGGAAGCACTTATACTCCAGAAGTTGAAAACAAATACTGCATTAATATTTAACAATCTAAATATTAGAAAGTTCAGTTTGTTTCTTAATACGTGTGTGTATACACATATATATAGCTTTCAGTCAGATTTTAAAAGCTAATGATTTAATAAATCTTTTTTTTAACTATTAATTAGAGAGATTTGAATGTTACGTACAAAAATAACAGACCATATTTAACTATAAAAAAACTTTAAATCAAAAAGATCATAGACTCCTTAGGTGATCTCTTTAAGAAACCTTTCTGCAAAGGGCTCTTTTGCTCTTTGAAAGCTAAGAAATTGATTCAATTGTTTAGTCATTCACACATAATTTTGGTTCTTTTTTATGAACCAGAAACTGTTCTAGGTGCTAATATTAATGAAGCAGAAACATAACAGTTACCATCTTTGTTGCCATGGAGCTTATACTCTAATGTTACTGTGCAGAATAATCAATAATATCTTCATGTAGAAGAAAAAGTGCCTATTTTTAAAGGAGGAAATAAATCAGAGGATGATAGGGAATGTTGGTAGTATAAGGTGGTTGTAGTTTCACAAAGATTTCTCAGGAAAGGCTTCCCCGAAGGAGTAACATCTGTGGAAAATAAGCACAGGAGGGAACAATGACATGGATTTTAGGGAAGGACATTTTAAAAAGAGGTCATGGCAAGTAGAGATGCCTTAAGACCAGTCCTTAAATGTTTGAGTACCAACAGAGGCCAGCTTGTTTGGGGAATGAGGGTAAGTGATCAAGGCGGAAGACTCGTTCTGAGAGAGAACTAGTTGATCAGTTTTGTATGGCCTGTAAGCCATTGTACCAAATGAGTTTTACTTGGAAGCTATTGAAATAATTCAGAAGAGACAGGTTAGAGGTATGAACCAGGATGGTCAACATTGGAAGTGCAATGAAGTGATTGAATTTTAAAAGCTATGTTCAGAATATCATTTATTATACTACCTTTCATTCAAAACTTTTAGGTTAAAAATTTTAAAAAGTGTTCATGTATTTGTGTATGACTCTTTTGAATGATGAACCTATATGCTGTTGCTCAATGAACAATTCACTTTAACCTTTTCTTGAATGATAGTTCAGGTAATCCAAGCTGTATATCACAGAGCAATAGGAATTATTTTGATAGATATTTCCCTCCCTTTTCTCTATCCCAGTAAAGTTATAGCATTGTATAAGCAGTTGTCACCTTGAAATTGTAATTAAACAACTTGAGATACCAACCATCTTTTCTCCTCCCTTACATTTTGGCATAGTCTCGTGTTCTTCTGTGTTTCTCTCATGGAGGTTTAGAAGACCATTTTGTAAATCTGGCCACATATTTTAAAAAAGATAACTCAAAAAAAGATATTTTAAAAATGATGACTCAGTTCTCATTGCTTAAGGATGGTCATATTTCATAAATTCAAATAATTTTTATTTGAAAAGAAGGTGTGTACCTCATCTGTTGGATGCAGCATTGTACATACGCCACAGAGTAAATTTGCTGTGTTATTGAAATTTTGTACCCTTTCCTAAAGTTTTTTCTCTCTATCTATGAAAACACTAGGGAAAAAAAATTCCCCTGAATAATAGAATTATCACTTTTTCTGTGTTTGCTTTAAATATTTTAAAGGTTTTTTACTAAGTGCATTCAAATAATTCAAAACTTCTGTCACTGTTTATTAATCTTCTGTGTAATGCTCCCCCTCCCTAAAATCTGTTTTATGAAATGTTAAAAGAGTGTTGTCATGATTAGTATTCTGTGGTCAATTTTTTGATATTTTAAATATTTTTGTGACCTTATGTTTAATTTATTTATTTGGTAATGGGAAATGAACCCAGCAGTGCTTAACCACTGAGCCTTATCCCCAGTTCTTTTTTATATTTTTATTTAGAGACAGAGTCTTGCTAAGTTGCTTAGGGCCTTGCTCATTTGCTGGGCCTGGCTTTGAACTTATGATCCTCCTTCCTCAGTTTTTGAGCTGCTGGGATTATAGGTGTGTCCCACCACACTCAGCATGACCTTATATTTTAAACATATCTTAAAAACATCTATGGCTAAATATTGCTTTTTAAATTCAGTTTTAACTTAAAAAAAAAAAAAAACACCAGCGAGTGAACCCAGCCACTGAGTCATATCCCCAACCCTTTTGATTTTTTATTTTGAGAAAGGACCTTGCTTAGGGCCTCACTAAGTTGTGGAGGCTGGCTTTGAACTTATGACCCTCCTATCTCAGCCTCTGAATTGCTGGAATTACAGGCATGTGCCACCTTGTCCACCTAGCATTCTCTTTTTAACTGGATCTTTTATCCTAATTGTTTTTATTGTGATTATTGCTCTATTTGCATGCATTTAATCAATTATGTAAAACTTTCTATTCTGTCTCCTATATATCTAAAAAATTTTTTTTCTTGACAGTCTTTGGCTAAATCTCTCTTACCATCTTCTACCTCAACCCTAGTTTGTAAATCATATTGGTGATATCAATTATTTTATTGGTTATGCTGGATATTTTACTTGTGTTTTTAATTTTTAGTTTAGCATAATTGGTATTCTTCTTTTCCAGAACAGTACATACCCTTTCTCTACTTGTATGTCCTTTTATTCCCAATGATTATTTAGTTTTATTTTTAATCTCTAAATTAAGTAATATTGTTGTTATTATTATTGTATATACTCAATTAATATTTAACAATATTTACTTCAAAGGATACTTAGGTTCTTATGCACCATTCCTTCTGGTACCTGTCACCTGCAACATGAGATGATTTTGTTTTCCTAAAGTATTTTTTATTTAAATTGCTTAAAAATTTTAAAGCATTGGTTATCCAAATTGAGTTTAAAAAGTTGCATCACATATGTAAAATGCTTCATAGTTGTTAAAAATTTAATTCTTCCCTATTTATTCTCTTGTGAATAATTTTATAGAAAAAGCATAGTGTCAAATGAAACATGTTTTCTATTTAAATATATACATCATTATATAAAAATGTGACATCCTTGTAACATAGTCAAAAGATAATCTTGAAGCCTACATTCTTCCTTTTGAACTCATTCATGCATTCAACTTTGATTATAGCTTTCTGCTTGAGGATTTTCCTTATTGAAATTTTTTTGTTGGGGCACATTCAGATTCTAAAATTGGAGATACGATTCTTACCACCCACAACTGAAAGCATTGACACATCCACCTGTGACAACAACCTCTAATTTCTGTAGCTCTTAAGTACCACTACTGCATTGATAACGTCTAATCCATTAATTCCTGTCCTTTTTCTTGTTCATCAGCCTTCTTCAGTGTTTGCTTTCATCTGAATATACTTGTAGCCCATGGCTCATCACTTTAGTCATTCTCTTATTAGTGCTTTCATTTCCTTTGGCAAAATCTCAATTTTTGCTAAGCCTCATTAGTTACTTAATTTCTTTATGCTTGAATACCACTATTTAAAAATGCATAGTTTCGCATATTAGTATCACTGTACGTTTATGTTACATTCACAAACCTCAGATGGGATTTAATGCAGTTGCCATCTTACATTTCTCTAGGTGATGATGAATCTCCCTGCCTTTTAGTGACTCTTTTGTACTTTATTCTTCATTTCCTACTACCCTGTCTCTCAATCTCCAGGTAACAATTCTGTTTCATAATTAAAGGACACTAATGGACCACTTAATAAATAGACTTGAATTCGTCATTTTTTCCTTCTTTCTTCTTACACAGAAGAAACAGTTTCCTGTAAAGATATCCTTTTTATTTATTTTTTTTAAGAATTTAACCTTTATTTATTTGTTTGTATTGTTTATTTGTTTTAATGTGGTGTTGAGGATTGAACCCAGGGCCTTACCCATCCTAGGCAAGCACTCTATCATGAGCTACAACCTCAGCCAGCTCTTTTATTTTTCTGATAGAAATATCCAAATATGTATTAGAATCCCCATCTTAAAAATCCAGAAAAGCAAAATAAATTAATTTTCCTTTGACATATCTCATAAATAACACTTATTTTCTTACTTTCACAATCAAAATTCCCAAAGTTATTTTTGTATACTCATCTTTTCCTTCTTTTCCAATCTTTAAGCTACATCATTTTGGCTTTTGCTTAAAACTCACTGTAGTAAATCACTGAATGACTTTAATGTGGCTGCACATCTTTTCAGTTCCATTGAGTGTTTTCCAAATAATCCCTTCTTGAAAAACTAGCATCTCATGGTTTTATTGATACCAAACATTCCTTGTCACCTCGCTGTTTCTTTTCAGTTTCCTTCATCAACACTCTCTCCTCTGCTTGATGTCTTAATGTTCCTTAGGATCCTATGTTTTCAGTTTACACTTACTCAGATTAACATTTCGCTCAGCTCTTTCATTTAAGTTTCAAATTATATATTCAAGTACTTAGTTGATCTCCACTGTATATATTTTTTTAAACATTTTGTTTTAGTTGTAGTGGGACATAATACCTTTATTTTGTTTTTATGTGGTGCTGTGGATTGAACCCAGTGCCCCGCATGTGCTGGGCAAGTGCTGTACCACTGAGCCACAACCCCATCCCCTTCGCTATATATTTGTCAGACATTTCAAACAATATTTCAAAATACCTGTCTCTTCAATTCTTAGCCTGCTTCTTATATGAAATTTCCTTCTGCAACATAATAAATCAGCCTGTTTGCTAGATTCAGAAATTTGGGAGTTATTCCTTCCTACTTCCTCTTTATTAGCAAATCCTATTAATTATATTTACAAAATAGTTCTTAAACTTGTCTTGTTCCATTGTCTGTCTGTCTGTCTGTCTGTCTCTCTCTCTCTCTCTCTCTCTCTCTCTCTCTCTGTCACTCTCTCTTTACTTTTCTAGAGTACTATAATAGCATCCTAACTGATCTCACGTCTGTACTACTTTGAGCAACCAGAGTCATGTTCATAAACTGTAAATCAGATCATCCCACTCTCCTTTTAAGATCTTTCATTGGGTATGCATTACTTTTCAAGTAAAATCCATACTCAGTAATGTGACATTAATCATCTTGCATTTTCTATCTTTTCAGCCTCTTTGTTTAATTTTCACTATATTTCAGCAACATTGGGCCCTTTTAAAATTCCTTGAACAAACCAAGTTCAGGGCCTTTGTATATAGTATCATCCTGATTTTGTTTAAATGTGATGTCCTCATCATTAACTTTTATGCCCTCTTAATCTTAATTATTTCTGTGACCTTTTTTTTTTTTTTTTATGTCTTTCTCCTTTCAGAAGTTCCAGAAGGACCAGGGACTGTGAACCATGATGCTAACTTGTTTTATGTTTTCTGATTTAGAATAAATATTGGATGGATGGATGGATGGATGGGTTGATGGATGGAGGAGGGGAATGAGGAAGGGATGAAAGAAATGGATGAAAGAAAATCTGAACCATGATTTAAGACACATAGCTGAAAGCTCATATGCCAATGTATGCTCTTTTATCCCCTGTCCCTGTTGATAGCAGATGGTAATATGTATACATTTCTTTTTATTTTTTCAGCAAGATCTTTGTACCTTCTTGATATCAAGAGCCTGCAAAAACTCAACACTGGCTAATTATTTATACTGGTATGTGAAAATAATTTTGTTTCTTATCCCTTTTAAGAACTATTTTTCACCATGCTGTACATAAAGACAATTTTAAATTAAGATGTGAACAACCATTAAAAGCCTAGATAGAATATTTATATTTATGTGCATTTCTTTATGGCTATGTTTGTGGAAATGTTTGTTAACATCACTGCTTCTCTTCCTTTTACTATGTTTTCAAGAGCTAAGATATAGCTGGGTGATCTAATGCTACTGCTTCTTTTCTTTTTTCATATTTTTTTTTCTGTTTACCTTTTGTGCTATTTAAATAATATATGATATTTTATATAATTTTTAAGAGTGTGTTTTCACATTATTTACCAAAACATTTGAATCATGCAAAAATAAAAAACTGGAATTCAAAGTTACCTTATTTCATTTTAAAGATAAGAATGTATGCCATAAAGAGGTATACCATAACTGAACTTGGTATGCCCTCATCTAGAATGAGATCATTTATCTGTTACTTTGCCATTTTTGGCATATTCTCAGTGAGCTTGTCTTATTTTTCACTGTGTAGTTGAATGGGGCAAGTATAGCTATCTCTGTGTTACCTAAGAACAGTATCCTCAGTGAGTGGAAGGAAAGAAAAACTGAGTTACAGAAAAGGTGACTTCCTGCGACACAGTTACCATAAAGCATGGCTCCATCTATAAGTTATAGAATTTTGAAGGGTAGAAGACAAGTAGCTTAAACCACCATGAGAAGTATTTAGATTCAATAAAAGAAAGCATTAGGATTAAACACTAGGTAAAAGAGTTATATCCAGCTTTACAGAGCAAACAAAGGACAAAGCCAGCCGGATCAGCTCTACCTGAAGCCTTCTTTATATTTGACAAAATAGTTAACACTTTTTAAACTTCTTGACATAGTTGTTGGCTTGACTATAAAAATGATCTTTGATCTAATCTTACTGTTTAATTTGTAGCCTTAACTTAAAAAGTACAAATTAGTAGATATGCATTCTAAAGCTCGTTATTTTAAAATAACAACAAGGCATTCTGCTTTTCATGAGCAAATTAAACAAAATACTAGTGTGTTTTACCCTCATTTTGGAGAAACTGTCCTATGGGTTGAATCAGTCCTTAACTCCATTCTCCTATACTCTGAAAAGAATATCCTGTATGCCGCCCTGTAGCCAAGAAATAGATAACCAAATCAGAGCCCTCTGGTAACTGACAAGGTGCTTTTATTTACATTAACAATATTTGCTTAAGACTTTTTGGTTTTTTTTACTACACAAAAAAATCAGTATCAACAATTTTAATTAAATCAGTCATTTTCTCCTTTTGTGGAAATTGCCTGTGGATAGTTTGGAACCCGTGATTTATTTTGCCCCAGTGTTGACCTTTAGTAGTGGGAAGAAAAATAGTTCCGTGCTTTTGCTTTAGCAGTTTAATATAATATTCATAAAAGTACATTTCCCTCACATTAAATCTTAGTATGCCATTGAAGATATATCTATAGAATATTTTCCTTAGAAGTGTTTACTTAGAATTTCTCATATTACCAAATTTCTGTTTCTTTTTAATATAACATTTTGCTTCTTAATGTTCTATATACCAGTTTGAATTGTAATGTGTATGTCTGTTCACTGGTATTACAGAAAAATATTTCCTCTTGAAAATCTATTTAATAGGTAAAGGAAACTAGAGGAAAAAATGAGTAGGCCATGTTGCTGAGTTTTTGAGTATTTCTATCTTAAGTGTTTTAAAATTCAGATTTATGTGGTTTTTTTTAATTCATTACTGAGAATTTCTTTATAGATATTTTGTCCCCTTGTAATGTTCATGGAAAGTTTTTTTCTGGCTCAGAATTTATAGTCTAAAGTAGTCACTATTATAAAAACTAGGTGTATATACTAATTATGTGATTTTGAAATTACATATATTCTTTGGATTTGACTATAGAGCAGATTTTATTGTAAAATTTTAATTAGTTTTGATAGATTCTTTGATCTCTTTTTTTCAAGTAGGACAGCTTGCAAATCATTCTAAAAGAAGCTGAATATGAGGAAACTTATTAGATGAATAATTTCCAATAAGGTAGCTGTTTCTGTTCAGAAAGAGCACTTTGTTTTCTCTGTAGATAATAAACAAAGTGCAGCCTCAGTTTCCAGTCTTCTAAACATTCCATCAAACTTAGATTTGATATGTGTTTTCCCACTGATTCATTGAAACAATTGCAGGTGTTCCTTCTCTAAGGAGTAATTGTTCTTACCATATTTATAGTCTGCATATTATATATTCAGAAATACTCATGGAGAAAAAGGTCATTCATGTGGATTCTTGACTTTAGTAGGCACTGCTTTGGGGAATGTAGGATAACACTATAGGAAAAAAATTCCAATGGTTGGTTTGGAATGATCATTCTTTTCCTTTGAACATGGACAGAATAATATAAAATGTTAATCAAATGTAAGAATTGGAATACCTTTCACTAAGCTTACCTCTTATAACAAATGTATTAAAATATAAATTTAATTGGATGTGTTATTTCCTTTTAAATATTTTGGATTTCTTTTTTTATTTGTTCCCTTTGCAGTGATTTAAGCAGGATTCCTGCTGTATCTAAGTCCTTAGGGGCTGATAGTTTTACAGACAATCCTTTTAAAATGAATAGTGTCAACCTTTTAAGCCACAGAGGGGAGTTATAGTCTCCAATCTGTAAAATGTTGGGCATCAGAATCTATAAATCGTTCCAGTTTTTTATTTTTATAGTCAATCCAATGTGTTGAAATTGAAAGTAAACTTTGGATGCTTTGACATGCTTTCTATAACTTTTAAGACCTTTCAAGGTAATAAAGGTTATTTACTCTACAAAATGAAATTGCCAGGAAACAGGTAGCCCACTGATGTCATCTTAAAATGAGTACCTAGACAATTTTGTCTGCATTTCTACTTTAAGATGACAGCCTTCATGGGAATACCTTTGAGTGCTTTGTAGAATCTAGTTTATTGGCGTGAACAGTGACTCAGTGTGTTCTAGTCTTGATCTAACCTTGTCTTTGATATTTGTTGATGTCACTGTCATTTTAGATGGGCTTTTTCTTTGCGGGAGAACTTTGACTTGAATAATATGAGATGTGTTTGATATTTGACCATTATCGTGAAGATTAACATATACCCTTAATCACAGGAAATAGCTACAGCCATAGTCTTTATTTGGTGGTCAAAAAGACCTGAACACAGCAGTTGGTCCTATATATTATGATCATCTCTGTGCTCATTTGTAAATGAGTTTGCAGTATAGATACACAGGAAGAGAAATTGAATATACAAAGGTGATGAAGACAGTCAAGAACTTAAATCAATGTGATGAAGATAGTTTAAAGAAGAGAAAATTAGGATGACTGAATTAAGTAATGAGTAGTTTTTAGAGTTGGAAATTTCAGGTTGTTTGCTGTTAGATTCTAGAGAGGGCTCGATAGTATAGAACCATTGTAAAAGGCATTTAATAGGAAAAATCCAGTGTCTGCTGAATAATTTAGTATACGTATTTAAGGCAGGGGACTGTGAGTTAAGTTTGGCTCTATGTGTATAGCCTGCAAATTTTACAAAAATTGTCAAAATGAGTTTTAGATAAGGATTGGGTTATATGGTTTGGCTGCAGTCCTGCTTCTCCATCTTTTCTTATAAACTTGTTTCCTGCCTGACTTTGAGAAAACTTGAGTTTGTAAATCCTGTTAATTTGAAAATTTCCATTCCAAAAGCTGATTTTTTTTTTGTTGTTTTTTCAGCATGAGGTATGAACCTAGGAGTGCTTTACCCTGAGCTACAATCATTAGTCATTTTTTATTTCTTATTTTGAGATACAGTTTTGCAGACTTACTGAGGTTGGCATCAAACCTTCTGCCTCAGCCTCCTGAGTTGCTGGGTTTCAATTGTGTGCCTCCTTGCCCAGGGCTCTACAAATGCCTGAAATATTGATAGTACTCTCTATAGGGTTAGTCAGTTTGATAAAGTCAGTGTTGTACATGTTCTGTTAAAAATAGCAGGCAGTATCTTGAAAATCATTGTAGTTGAATATGAAGGCAAGTCATATAAGGTATTAAGTGTATATTCAGCCTTGAGAATTATCAATATCAAAATAATGGCTAAATCTATGAGGTTGGGGTAATTTCTTCAATCAACAATAAAATGAACATCTGTGTGAGCTAGGCATGGAAGTGCTGAGAGTTTAGTGAAAAATAATACAGGAACTCTATTCTTAAGAACTTCTAGATGGCTGAATATATTCCTTCCTAGAAATGGTAAAATAGATAATAAAAAGCATCTATGAATTGACATGTGAGAACTGCTATCACTTAAGGAGGTTTAAAAGTTTCACATGGTTTTTAAAAATAAACAGTGTGAAATTCAATTTAGTAGAGTAGACAGAATTTTGGCCTGTGAGCCCAAAGTCCCGAGTTCTGATCTCAGCTGTACAATCACATAATTATGTCATCCTTGCCAAGACAAAACCTCTCTAAATTTCATTATTGAGAAAGGAAGAAAGTTGATCTAGATTTATGTTTTTTTCTTATTTTTTTAATTTGTTCATTTTAGATATACATGTAGAGTATATTTTGACACATATATACATGTAGTACAACCCATTCCAATTAGGATAACATTCTTTTTCTTTTTTTCAGTTGTTGATTGACCTTTATTTATTTACTTATATGTGGTGCTGAGAATCGAACCCAGTGCCTCACACATGCGAGGCAAGCGCTCTATCAACTGAGCCACAACCCCAGCCCAGGATACCATTCTTAAGACTGTTCATAATGTGGAGTTACACTAGTTATATATTCATTTATGAGCAAAGGGAAGTCATGTCCAATTCATTCTACTGTCTTTCTTATTCCCATCACTCCTCCCTTCCCTTCATTCCCTTTTGTCTAATCCAATGAACTTTTATTCATCCCCTCCCTACCCTTCCTTGCTGTGGATTAGTATCCACATAGGGAGAACATTCAGCTTTTGGATTTTTAGTACTGGCTTATTTCACTTAGCATGATAGTCTTCAGTTCCATCCATTTACCAGCAAATGCCATAATTTCATTCTTGTTTTTGGCCAAGTAATATTCATTATGTGTACACATCACATTTTCTTTATCCATTCATCTGTTGAAGGGCACCTAAGTTGGTTCCACAGGTTGGCTATGGTGAATTCACCTGCTAAAAACAGTAATATGGCTTCATCACTGTAGTGTGCTGATTTTAAGTCCTTTGGGTATAAACTGATGAGTGGGGATAGCTGGTCAAATGGTTTCATTCCAAGTTTTCTGAGGAATCTCCATACTGCTTTCCAGAGTGGTTGTACCAATCTGCAGTCCCACCAGCAATGTATGAGTGAATCTTTTTCTTCACATCCTTGCCAAAATTTATTGTTACTTATATTTTTAGTAATTGCCATTGTGACTAGAGTGAGAACTATTTGTCATGAGCTATTGAAAGCAATGTTAAAACTTACAATGTAGCCTTCAGTGTTTAAAGAAAAATGAAATAGAATTGAATCAGTATTAAATATTAGCAAATGTTAAAACTGTTCATAGGGTATTGCTCTCATTTTTATGTAGCCATGTACACACAAAGCAGTGTTTACCAAGTTGTGATATTAAATGTAATTCACTCTGGTTTCTTTTTTTTCTCATCAGAACATTTGGAAACACATGATTAATGAGCTGACTCAGATCTTGGGTTATACAATTTCTTTTAATTGTATAAGGAGTTTATGCTTAAGAAAACATTGAAGATTTCATTAACTTTTTAAAATAACAGTTTTAGAAAAATTTAAGATTATATATGTTTTTTTGAGAAATGGAGAAATTGGATGGGAAAGAAAAAACTCAATACATTTTATTAATCTTTCAAATATGTTAATGAGAGGTAGCACTAGTGTTTTTCAGAATAGCAAAGCCTTTTTTAACTCCAAAAATATGCTGTTACTTGAGTAACTTTTTTTCTTGAGTTACTTGGTAGATATGTGAACTTAGATAATTTCAGAGGATATTGATACTTTAAGTACCTCATAAAGTAATAGGAAAAATGGCTTGTTTGGTTGGAAAAATGTTTAGAAAATTTACAGTACTGCAGAAATCAAGACATTATTTTTGTTAGTTTATGTAATGTTTTGCATAATACCCCTTAATTTTTCACTTTTTAGAGAATGATGATAAAATACATTTCTTTATTCACATTTAATAATTTTTTTCAAATATGTATCTGTTTTAATGGAATGATATATTTACAATATGAATCCAAGTTTTATTTCACATCATATGAGTAACTTCAGTAATTTTAAAGGTATGTCATAGTTGAATGTGAAGATCAAGATACTCAGCAGAGAGATCCAAAGACCCATGAGATGTACTTGAATGTAATGAGAAGATTCAGCCAAGCATTATTAAAGGTAACCATTCAAATGGGCCTGATCTGGCCTATTACCTGTATTATTATGTCCTGTGAATCATTTTTACATTTTTTAAGTGGTTGAAAACAAGTACAAAGAAGATCAATACTTTATGATACATGAAAGGTATGTTAAATTAAAATTTCAATGTTTATATGCAAGTTATTTGGAACATAGTCATTCCCATTCATTATGTATTGTCTGTGCCTGTTTTTGCACTACAGTAGCAGTTGAATATTTGGAATGAAAACTTTGTTGCCAAAATGGCCTAAAATATGTATTTTTTGACACTTTACAGAAAATTTGGTGACCAATTTTAATGAAATAAACCTCTACATGGAAAAAAAAATAAAATAAAAGCTTTGCTTTTTAATTTTACTTTGTGTTTTTCTTATATAGCTTAAGTACATTCTCAGAAATCTAGAAATATTCATATTGTACATATTGTACATATTCCCTATACAACTGAAGTGTTTGCTTCATCAACAGTTTGTAGAGAAATATAAGGCCATGTTTTGCTTGGTTTATTTTGATCATAAAGCAATATTCAAGATCAACCAGCAGAGGGTGCAAGTCAGTGAAAAGAAAACATTGTTCTGTAATATGGTTGCTACAGAAAATTTTACTTCATAGCGTCTTTTACCTGCTGTTTCATGTTTTGAATTCTTAAAATTTAAATTACATCTTATTAAACACTTTGAGACTCAGTTTGTATATAATTCTCAGAGCTTAGAGCATCTTAGTATTAAACTGATTGGCTAATAAGCTGTTGGTCTTCTAATCTCACTCTTGTACTTAAAATTTTTGCCACCTTGTGAAGGCATTTCAGTTTCTCTGAACTTAAATTTTCTCATCTTTTATAAGGGGATGATAACATTTCCCCAACGCTCTTATCAGGGCAGAGGAAGATGAAAGGAGAGTAGATTTTTACAGTATTTTATGAGCTGACAATTATTACATAATTACATAAGACTTTATAGTTTCTTGTTTTTAATTACCTAATGTTTTCCTGAACAAGCATGTATTTTGATACTATTTGAGTATATCTCCCTGACAACCTCCCCATCCCCACCCCCCCACCCCGTACTGGGATTGAACCCACAGCCATGTTATCACTGAGCTACATCTCTATAGCCTTTTTATTTTGAGGTAGGGTCTTACTAAGTGCTGAGGCTGGCTTTGAACTACCTCAGCTACTATACTCAGCGCCTTCCCTCTCTTCTGTAAGTAGATTTTTTAGTTTCTTGACAGTAGTATCTTAGTTGCTCCTATATATGTATGCCTAGCACATTTCTGAAGATACCATCAGTTTTCAGTTATTTATTGAATCAGTCAATGAAAGCATTTTGGGGTGAACAAATTCTGTCTTGTCACACAGTTATTTGTGGGGGAAAAAGGTTTTGTTTTAGACCAGTGTTCACTGAAAACAGATAATTTTCAACTGCAAACAGTTTGGTGATGTTTACCTACTATATCAGATTTTTCATTATCTTCAACCAAAATAATTAATCTTTTTCAGTTTCTCTTTGTGTTGAAGTTTATAGCTATTAGAAGAGAAAAAAAAGATTATCCATGCTGTTAAAGAAACCCTGATCATCATGAGATATAGAACTAATTTTCCTTTCCTTTGATTCCCTTCAGGGGGATAAGTCTGTCAGAGTTATGCGTTCTTTGCTGGCTGCACAGCAGACATTTGTAGATCGGTTGGTGCATCTAATGAAAGCAGTCCAGCGTGAAAGTGGAAATCGCAAGAAAAAGGTAAATGCTTTCTGTTTATGCCTAAAAGTGGTGTGGCATGGTAAAATAGTGAGTTTTGACCACTCTCTCATTGGGTCAGTAGATTATATGAATTTCTTATGATGTAATTACAGGAACATTTATAAACACTGATTGTGTATGGGTTCCTATTTTTTGAGTTTACATATGTCAAAGCATTTAAACCAAATTCTGTAAATTAGGTATTATCCTAATTGTGAAGAAAATTAGGCATAGAGAGGTTAAATAATTTGTCCATGCCACACAACCAGTAAGTGTTAAGATTTATGATTTGTACCTGTGCATTTTGGACCCATATTTTTATGCATACTTTACTGGTTGTCATTTTAGAATATATTTGATATGTAAAGTATGTCTTGAAATCTTTAGTGTAGAATTCTGAGAAACAAAGATCTCAAGAGTAACTTGCTCAAGGTTACAGAACAGATTGTTAAATAGTTACAACACTGGCTTCATGTCTGTTCTCTTGGCCAGAGCATTAATCTTTGAACCATGAAGCCTCCACTTGATAAGTAGTAGATGAGTATCTATTCTTCACAAGTCATTTTCTGATCAGTACCTTAAATCATATGAAGGATTTATTTGGTATCTTCTTTTTCTCCGGATCCCATTAGATAATAGGATAATAGACAGGGTTTTCTTCTTCTTTCTTTCTTTTTTTTTTTTGGTTGTTGTTGTAGATGGCCAACAGTACCTTTATTTTATTTATTTACTTTTATGTGGTGCTGAGGATTGAACCCAGTGACTCACCAATGCTAGGCAATCTCTCTACACAACCACAGCCCCAGGTCTTTCTGCTTGATCTTTGCAAAATAACACAATACAGCTTATCTACTGTTATTTTCTAGACTTGAAAGAGGAAAGTTGAAAGAGGATAAGATGAAGAATTGAATTAGAAATTCAAAGACAATGGATCATGTTTAAAGAAATGCAAAGATATGAGCAAGGAAATATTATTTACCTAGTTAGGGAGGAGATATAAAATGAAGGGAAAACATGTTTTATTCAGTTTCTATTTTTTGTTGTTGTTGAGAAGAATCACAAACCATGGTTAAATAAATAAATCCATACTTGCTACGCACCCTGGGCCAGAAGTATTGTGATCCCAAGTATTCACCAGCGGGGGGAGCTGCACCTTTGATGTGTGCACTTTGGGGCATTTTGTTTTAGCATCAGTACTCTGTTTTTAATGAGTCTGTAGCAGGCAAAAGTTGAAAAGAGCAGTCAGGACACTATTGTAATAACCAAGATGAGAAATGAAATGTCTATGTTCCTGGCATGATAGCAGTATGAGAAGAATCTATATTTTTACTTTTATTATCTGTCTTCTGGTTATTTTATTGTTTATCAGCACATGAACTAGAAATCGGTTATGATAGAATAACTCAAAAGTCAGATTAACTGACATTTCTTCATATAAGTGTATTTGACTGTCCACTTCACTATGGAGCAGATATATTGATTTTTATAAGGCATGTATTGGAATTCATGCCAGTTTTCAGTTGATTCTAATTGGAACTTGTCATCATGAGAAGGAGATTTGGAGTATTACTGGAAGGAAATAATTTTATGTCAATCCTTTAAACTTTTTTTTTTTTTTAATTTCTGTATATCCCTAACTCCAGAATTCTTTTTTGGTATAGGCTTCTTGCATTACAGTTGAAGTGCTTTGTGTCAGTGGGATTGGCAAGTTAAGTTTTCCTCTTTAAAGTACAAGCTCATCTGTTTAAAGAATGCAAGACTCTCTCAGCTTTTCAAAGGATAGATTGTTTCTTAAATACTGAATAAAAGGGCTTTTAACAACGTGAAAGCTGTTTTACCATGACTTGATTTCTCAGTTTCTGAGAGCCTGGCTCAGTTCAATTTGCATATGAACTGAAGAAACTGAATGATGATGATATCTTAAAAAAAGTTAGATTACCTTCAGTGAAAGGTAGAAGGTAGGGACAGATCAAGTTCCAAGTTAGTTAAAATTTCTTTCTTATATTCAAAAAATGCATTGGGACATTATAATGAAAATTTCAGTTAATATTTAGTCATGCAAAATTAAATTTCAAATAAAATTTAGGTTTTCTCTGGCTTCATAAATCCTTTGGAAATAGAAGTCAAATCTTTTAAATCCATCTTGAGGCAAATTAAATGTATTCTTGAGACTAGTCTTTTATTTTTTAACATTTTTTTTATTGTAGTTGGACATAATACCTTTATTTTATTTATGTATTTTTATGTGGTGCTGAGGATTGAACCCAGCATGCCTTGCACATGCTAGGCGAGTGCTCTACCACTGAGCCACAACCCTAGCCCCCAGGGACTACTCTTTTAAAGATTACTGCTAAGGCTAGGATAAAGCTCAGTTATAGCCACCCTCCTACCCCCACCCCCAAAAAGAAAAATAAAAACATGCTGCTGCTTTTGTTACATGGATTATTTATAAGTGTTTCTCTCTCTCACATATGTACATCTGCTTTATGTTAGTCTTCATATATTTTGTAATACTCTGCAAAAATCTTAATATCAGTTTTTCTATCTTTATGTTTTATGAACTGCTTTTTTAAATCAAATTAATTCCTTCTAATTCATTTTCCTAGAATGAGAGATTACAGGCATTGCTTGGAGATAACGAAAAGATGAATTTGTCAGATGTGGAACTCATACCTTTGCCTTTAGAACCCCAGGTGAAAATTAGAGGAATAATCCCAGAAACAGCTACACTATTTAAGGTAATTATGAGGTATCTTTAATGTATATGATTAGAATCTAATTCTTTAAAATACAACACTACCTTGGAAAATTAGTACATTACTAGGAATATTTCTAATTCTGTTTGATTTAGGAAATACCAGAGGGAATAAAAGGACCTTTCATTTATCACTACGGTTTCATTGAAGATCTTCTTGTTTTGAGTACATAAGCATTTTTTACAAACAAAACGTATAAAATATATATCTCTATTTAAAACTTTTTTTAACTATTTAATTATCGTAATTCAGAGCCACAACTACTTTTCTCCCTTGAGACTATTTTTTTTTTTAATAAACAAATTGTAAAACTTACATGAAAGTTCAGATTGTTAGGTATGAGGCCCAGTTACCCCACCACCACCTTTTTTTTTCCTCAACACAATATTTGTTCCTGTGAACATTAAACTTCTTCATTTTCTTTTCTTCTGTTTTTTGATACCAGCGATTAAACCCTTGGGCACCTGCCTAAACAATGGGTCACATCCCTAGCCCTGTTTCTTTTTTATTTTGAAACAGGTTCTTGTAAAGTTGATTCGGGCCTTGCCAAGTTGCTGAGGCTGGCTTTTGAACTTACCATCCTCCTGCCTCAGGTCTTCAGAGCTGCTGAAATTATAGACTGCACCTCCATGCCTGGTTTGTTTTTAGTTCTTAGTAGAACATTCAATTTTCTTTAGGTCTGGCCACCAGTTGCACAGGTAGAAATAGAATGCAGCTGCCTTTCTTATCATACTACAAAGGACTGAGCATCATACCTGCCAAGCAGTACTATCTGAGGGGCATCATACAGAAAGATCTCTGTGAGACATGGTTGCTGCGCCCCCCCCCCTGACTCAGGCAATGGCAAGGCCCTACTGAGGTGGATGGCGCAAGGTGTCCATCCTCTGGAGGAGCGCAGTATGTTTCTGGGAATGGGCTGGTTTGTTTTTGTATTCCTTTAATAAGTATAGTTGCAATTTCTCATATGACCATTAAGTATGAAGGAAAAAACTTGACTTTCCCAATTAATGCAACTACTTCTAAAGAATAGATCTGTTTGCTCTAAATGCAATGATTCAGCTGTGGAGCGTAAATTGTTAATGTCTAATGAAAAACTCCCTGTATTCCTGTCAAGGAAGTTTTTGAGAAATTAAATTAAAATCTAGAGAAGAAGAATTAATGTTAAGAAGACAGATTAGTGCTTGGTACTGGGCAACTTTTTCTTGTTCCTGTGCACAGTGGTTTGTGCTCTTACTCTTGTTTGATTAAAATTAATAACAAGTTAACCACTTGCCGTAACCATGGCACCGGTTGCAGCCAGTAAGTCAAGAAAGAATAGTCAAGGTATAAGCCAATAGTTGGGACATTTCTAACTATTATTAAAAGTTAACTAAACAGAAACAGCTCAAAGCAAAACTCGAACTGAAAGGAAAAATGCTTGCTTATGCATAAGCCAAGATACATTCTTCTATTCTAATTGTAGCTACGTAATATTTTGTTTCTTTGAATAATGATTCCTGTTTTGTAACCACAAAGTACTGTGAGCCTGCCAAAATGAAAAGTATATATGATCAACTTCACAAGTAAAGATTGGGATTCAGCACTTTCACTTTGGTGTCTGTGTTGTTTCTCCACCCCCCTTTCGCCGACTCCTCACCATCCGTTTGTCTCCTGAGGCCCCCTATTGGAGCTGGTCTCTGACACATGGTGTTTTAGGTTTTGTGAATCCAGTGATGGAATTTCATAAGTTGTGTTGAACATTATTTTTGCATAATATAAGAAACAGATCATAGAGCAACAACTTGTGTAGATGAAAAAGGATATAGTTACAGTACAAAATAGTTCACAGTTTTTGAAGAGGTGTGTTGTCAAGGCAACTTATTGGCAGCCTAGGTTACACAACTGAAACATAAGTTTCATAAAATAGTACTTAATCTTTACTGCATGTTATAGAATGATAGTGTCTATTTTTCAAAAATATTTTCTAATTGCTTTAACATTTAAATGTGTCTTACAACCCATTTTTAAAAAAATTGAATAATCATTAATAGATTGCAGCTTACGGTTTGAAAACACAGGTATAGGAGATGCAATGCAAATATTTCTTACTTCATGCTTACATTCCATGGAGGACTCAAGTATAGAAAGTTATGCATAAGACAGTATACTTTTAACAACTAGTATTTTGCTGGTTGTTAAACATCGAACTCCCAAGAACTCCCAAGCAAGACCAGTTTCTCTAAGCACTAATTAAAAAGAGTGAATTAAAAAGGTACTTGTACCCTTGTTTTCAAGCAGGGTAGAAAAGTATGTCTAAGACAGAGCAAGAGTTTTAAGAATAGAATATAAGAATGTACATCTGCCATTATTGGTAGTGGATTCTAAGCCCGTGTTATTTTTAATTATAGAATATTACAATTTTGTTTTATGCGTATAAAGTAAATAGTCAAAATATGGGGAATCTTTTTGATATACAGTCCTGTTATTGTTTTCTAGCCTTAAGCTTATGGAATTCTTAAACATAGTGAATTGGAGTTTAGAAATACTGGTCTTCAGACAGTTTCTGTGTATGACTGTTTAGTTGTGTAGAGTAACTAGCTATATAATATATCTCTGTATAGAGTTATTACATAACTCGAAGTAATTCTTAATTGGGGACATGAATGCCTTTGAGAATCTTGAAAAAGTGATGGATTATGTTCTTTCAGTAGTCCATCTGCTTATTCACACATTGAAAATATTGCATATATTTGCAGGGAACCCATGGATTCCTGTTGTACTTTTATAACTTTTATAAACTTCTGAAAATTCTTTTGTGTAATATTTTTTTTTAATATTTATTTTTTAGTTGTAGGTGGACAGGTTTGAACCCAACACTCTACCATTGAGCCACAACCCCAGCCCTTTGTGTAATATTTTTAAAGGAGTTTTTGTAGTTCTTGGTCTAAGAACCAAAGTTGGATCATTATGGAGAATGGTTCACTTAAGGCACTGGGAGTAATGGTAGTTATACTATGGTCATCATCACCTTGCTTCAGATTTTAGATGAAATCGAAATTTCATATTTACCTTTGAATCTGAAAAAAATAAATTACATCAAAGATCCTTTTACCTGTCATATTTAGGAAGATCACTTCCAACTATTATTCTTGAGCTTTTGTAAATTAGGGCTTAAGGTAATAAGTACATTTTGATAGTGGTGATAAAATGATTCTCTAAATTTAAGTTAATTTAAGGTTCAGAATTTTAGTCCACTAGAATATTTATGCTCTGAGCTTAACATTCTTTGAAGCATTTTTTCATGCCTTTTTTTCTCATCATGTTATAGAAAAGTTGTTTTTTTTTTTTTTTTTGTGTGTGTGTGTGTGTGTTGCTGGCAATCGAACCTAGGGCCTCATGCATGCTAGGCAAGTGCTGTATTACTGAGTCATATCCCCAGCCCCTATAGGAAAGTTTTCAAACAGTGCAGAGTTAAAGGGGTTTTTCAGTATGTGACTGTGTATCTACCACTTCCATTACTTCCATTCTGTCATTAATATTTTGCTTTGTCTGCTTTGCCATGTGTCTTCATCCATTTGTGTGATGCTTTTTATGCTATTTTCTTGGTTTACGTAAATTAGAGTTATTGCCATTTGTTTTCTTTTGTGACACATTTATTTTCTGTATATTATTATGAATTTCTCCAAATTTACAATCTTATAAAATATTTTCTATCCATGGTCAAAATCCATAGGATCTCTCTTTCTCAGAGCAGTTTTCTGACCATTTATCCCCAAAGTAATAATCTCAGGATTTTGAGAACTCAAAATTTTGAGATTTTGAGTCTCACAGTATATAATTGCTATTAAAAACCATGGCTGTGGGGCTAGAGTTGTGACTCAGTGGCAGAGCACTTGTCTCACACATGTGAGGCACTGGGTTTGATCCTCAGCACCACATAAAAATAAACAAACAAAATAAAGATATTGTGTTCATCTATAACTAATTATAAATAAATATATATTAAAAATGGCCATGTTCTTTTCATCTGATACATTTTTGTTTTATACTGTTTTACTTTATTTACTCCATTATATCTCTAATAATAAAAATAATGGTAGTAGACACACATGGAATGTCTGCTTTATATTAGGCCTAGTGTGAGACCCTTCTCATCAACAGTTTCTGATTGTCATAGCAGAGGAAATGCTATCTTTGTTTTATAAACTATTCATAGGACTGTTTGGCTGGTACCTGGCAAAGCCTGGATTCAGAGCCAGGATTGTTTAATTGCAAAGTTTGTGCTTTTTCCACCATGTGATCTGCCTATTAGCTGGTTCATTGTTCTCTACATGGTACCCTCATGTATCTGACAACCCATGTTGCTTCTTTAGGTCTTGTTCACCTGTTTTTAAATTATGTGCCAGAACTTTCTTCTGGCTATTGTAAATCTTTATGCATTAATTTACATTCAAATTGAAAACAGTACATTTCTTTTCCAGAGTGCCCTTATGCCTGCACAGTTGTTCTTTAAGACAGAAGATGGAGGCAAATATCCCGTTATATTTAAGCATGGAGATGATTTACGCCAAGATCAACTCATTCTTCAAATCATTTCACTTATGGATAAGGTGAGCATAACTTTATATTGATAGGGGACATGTTTTTATTTTAGAAAACTATGGTTTAGTATATATACTGCTTATGGAAACAAAAGTGTTTGTATTATTCAGTTACAGTCCTAAAAATCTTTTAGTAATCTCCACTTATCCTTGAACAAATAAAATTGTTTTTCTGCACTTCAGAATTATTCTTGTGATGAGTGTGAAGCTTCATATGCGCCATAAAACCTTTTTTCCAAATTTAAATTCTCACATTGTAAGCTTTAGTAATTTCTATAATGTCTATTAGATCTTTTTTTAAAAAAGGAAACATCCCATTATTGTCTTGGGTTTCAAAGGAATGTTGGCCTCATTTTAAAAAATTTTTATATTGTAAAATACTTTATGTCCATAAAGGAGAATCCTACTGTTTATTAAAAACTCATCATAGAGAGTGAATAAAAAATTCATCACACCATCAAAAATTAATGAATTTATTTTGATGATTTAAGTTTAATTAACTTAGTTAACCTTACATTAAGGCTATATCTTTATTATATTAAATGACTCTAATAGTTGTCCACAAAACTGTTTCCTAATAATTTTTACATTTGTTTAAAGTATTTTATCTTTTGATTTAAAGCTGTTACGGAAAGAAAATCTGGATTTGAAATTGACACCTTATAAGGTATTAGCCACGAGTACAAAACATGGTGAGTTTATTTTATATAAGGATTGTTTACTTTAATGTCTAATGAGTACTCTTTAAACTGAAAATTCTGAAGAATGTTAGAGATTAAACTTACTTTTGTAGCACTGCAGGCCAGTTGGGCCATCTTTCCTTCTCTGCTTCCTCCTTTTTTTCTCTTTCCCTTCTGTCTCTTCCTTCCATTCCTCCTTCTCTTCTTTCCTCTCTTGCATCACTTCCCTTTTCTTCAGTCCTTCCTACTTTCCTTTTATTCTTGTCCCTCTGTTTCTCCCCCTCTCTCTTCCCTCTGTTCCCTCACTCCCTATATCTGTTGTGCATGCACACATGCTCTCACTTTGTATTTTTACCTCTTGAAATTATAAAAACATCACCTTTGGAGAAAATTTAACACCTCTGTTATATATTTCTTTGCATTTAAACTGATTATAATCCACAGATGTTTATTGCATTGTAATCTGTTCAGAATAATCCTTTGAGAAAGGCTTTGCACTGTGCTCTGCTTATAAAAAGCTATTCAGCAAATTATGTTGTCAGTTGAATTCTTTTTTATATATTTTGACTATGTGTGCTTGCACATTCACATACAAACATGGATACATGTATATAGCATGTAAGTATTTTTAAAATGGAATAACCTCTGGAAGTTTGATGGCAAATTCCCTAAGAATGCTTGACTAATGCTTTTTGTAAATTCCATACTCTTTGCTTTATATCTGTAGTTACCTTGAAAAAATAAAATAATTGTTTTAAGTTTTTGTCCTTCCCTTGGCTACTTCCAAGACTATTTGGTGATTTTATTATTCTCATTTTTCCTTCAAATTGATTTTTATAGAAGTGCAAATGTGCTTCTTTACTATCCTGCGTAGGTGTATTTGGTAGTTTTCATTTGCTCTTGGGACAAAGACCAAGAGGCTTTACCTAGATTTAAATTCTTCAGTTGTAGGACTCCCTGTACCTGTCTCAAGCCTCTTCATTTGCCACTGTCCTCTTGCTTTCTTGAGCCAAAATGGCTACATTTTTTTTTAATTTTTTTTTTTTTTAGTTGTTTGTAGACTCAGTGCCTTTATTTGTTTTTATGTGGTGCTACAATCGAACCCAGTGCTTCACACTTGTAAGGCAAGTGCTCTACCACTGAGCCACAGCTCCAGCCCCCAAAATGGCTACATTTTGTTTTCTCTAATGCCCCATGCTCTTTTTGCTCTTGGGACCTTCACATATACTATGACCACTATCTGACACAGCTTTCCCTACATAGCTTTATCTAGTAACTTTATTGTTGAAATAATAAAAACATGATTCAATTGCCAGATGTCCTTTGATTCTTCTGTAACTTAAGTCTTCCTGAACTTTCAGGTCATGCTTTCATTCATAGTGTTTAAGATATGTAGGTAGGATCAAGCATGTATTTTTGCTTACTTGACAGCTCATGTTCCATATTAAAAAAACAACAGATACTTCTTAAGCGAATTACTGTGTACTGTTGTACATTTGTGATATGAGAATAAATAAAACATTTCTTGCTCTAAAGGGGTGTGATCTGTGTGTAAATTGTTAGAAGACTCAAAACCAGGTCATGACTCTTTCTAGTTCTAAAATAATGTTTCCCATTCGTCTTTCATTTTTTTTCATGTATTGGTTGTTATATGTTCCTATTGTTGTTCCAAGATTTACCAGACTTTTTTCATTTTTATTATCTCACATACTGTTCCCTCCTGATTTGTCTTGGTAGTTTGAGGTACTTGGGAGGTACTTCTTCCCAAGTCATTTCCAGTAAATGACAGAAGATGGAGTGTTAGACAAAAGGAGCCACTGGACATATACAAATTGGCTTAGGTGATAATATTCCAGAATTCTTAGAATGCTCTTAAATTTATACTGTTTTTGATTACTATCTCTTATCAAGCCATGGAAAGAAGAAAATTTTGATGATAGATTTAAGAAGCTTTGTCTGTTGCTTTGTGTTCTTTTGTTCAATAATAGAAATTTGCCTAGACAAATAAGCAGATTAATTAGCATAAAAATTTTCCTGGTAGTTACAGTGTTTTCAATGCCACAATAAACTGAATATAGCGTTCACAAACCTTTTTAAGTTGTTCAGATGTAGAGTGTATCCATTACAAAAGAAGGTTATTCTTAGTAGAACCTTTATTTCTATTATCTAAAAGGTATTATGAATACAGTATGTTTGTTCATTTCTGTGTAGGTTTCATGCAGTTTATCCAGTCAGTTCCTGTTGCTGAAGTTCTTGATACTGAGGGAAGCATTCAGGTATAGGACCAATTTTAAATATTTATAAAACTCATGTATATATTCTTCATATTGAAAATTTAAGTCTTCATGGAAAATATATGGAATTAAATGAAAGCCTCCCTTTATCACTTTCTTTATACAGGTTTTTTTCTTTAGAAGTGAGCATTATTTGTAGTTGGAAATTCTTCCATGTCAGTGTATTCAAGTGGTCAGTTTTATGAGTAATGCATGCCATACAAAATAGAAGATTAGAATTAAAATTAAAACTATGTTAAAGTTTATGATTGCATTATATTTCAAAGTGAGGATATACTACAATTTATGTAACCTTTAATTGATGGACATTTTGATTATTTCCAATTTTTGTTATTTAGAAAGTATTGTAGAGACATTCTTACTCATACATCTTTTGTATAATTATGCTTATAGCACTGCAATTTAAAAACTTTTTAAAATATCTTTCTATTGAAGAAATTTATATGCTCAGTAGGTTCCCTCATCAGAAAACTTGGAGGCCTGTGGGAATTTCTCCACTTTTTTTGTGTGTATGTGTATTTTTTCTATGACATTCTTATTGTATATCCTTTCACTATAACAAACCTTAGGTGTAGTGCAAATAAATGTTGAATCTGTGGGTCCTATAGCAAATCAAGTTGTTAGTGGTCTTGAAGTCATTATTTCATAAAGTTATCAATTAAGTATATTATTCTGAAATTAGGATTAGTTTTTAAATTTTTTTTTTTTTTTTTTTGGTATCAGGGAGTGAACGCAGGGGTACTCAGCCACTGAGCTACATCCCCAGCCCAGTTTTGTATTTTATTAGAGACAGGGTCTCAGTGAGTTGCTTAGTACCTCACTGTTGCTGAGACTGGCTTTGAACTCATGATCCTCCTGTTTCAGCCTCCTGAGCCACTGGGATTACAGGTGTGCACCACCATGCCTGGTCAGGATTATTTTTGTAAAGGAAGAGAGTGTGTATACTGGTTCTAGACTACATTTATGATCTCTGCAAATAGTTTGGGTGGATCATAGGGTATTGTTACCTTCACCTGTAGTTTATATTTAAAAGACTTATTTTTTTCCTAAAATAATTATTCCTTTTCTGTTTCTCATTGCCATGTATCCCTGCCTAATCTTAGTATTATCAGATTTCTAGCTCTTGGTATCCAGTTGTGGTTTTAATTTGTAATTCCCTGATTATCTGCAAGGTTTAACATTTAAAAATCTATATGAAGGACATGAAGCACTTGCCATCTTTTGTCCATGTCCTATTGAGTTGTTTGTAGTTTTCCTATTGATTTGTAGGAATTCTTTATATATTCCAAATAAAAATAGTTGGTTAAATATTCATAGTGTTCAAAAAACTGAAAACAGGATAAATCTATTTTTAACAATATTTTTTTTATTGGTTGTTCAAAACATTATAAAGCTCTTGACATATCATATTTCATACATTAGATTCAAGTTGGTTATGAACTCCCAATTTTACCCCAAATACAGATTGCAGAATCACATCGGTTACACATCCACATTTTTACATAATGCCCTATTAGTAACTGTTGTATTCTGCTACCTTTCCTATCCTCTACCATCCCCCCTCCCTCCCCTCCCATCTTCTCTCTCTACCCCATCCACTGTAATTCATATCTCTCCTTGTTTATTTTCCCATTCCCCTCACAACCTCTTATATGTAATTTTGTATAACAATGAGGGTCTCCCTCCATTACCATGCAATTTCCCTTTTCTCTCCCTTTCCATCCCACCTCATGTATCTGTTTAATGTTAATCTTTTCTTCCTGCTCTTCCTCCCTGCTCTGTTCTTAGTTGCTCTCATTATATCAAAGAAGACATTTGGTATTTGTTTTTTAGGGATTGGCTAGCTTCACTAAGCATAATCTGCTCTAGTGCCATCCATTTCCCTGCAAATTCTATGATTTTGTCATTTTTTAGTGCTGCGTAACAATATTTTAATTATACTTTGAAATAAAATGCTGTGTTTTTCTTTAACATTTGAAAGTAAAGAAATAGGTCAAGTGGATAATCTTAAAAAGGAAAAAAGAAAGAAATATATTAAGTATTGTTTTCCCAAACGTTGTCAGACTCTTTGTACACTCCATTGCATTTATTGAACCACCATTATTGTTTGGTTCAGTAAGCATCTAATTGTATTTTGACTAAATTTTGGACTAGAAACTTATTGGTCATTTTTACAATTTCAAAATGCCTAATTTGTTTAAATATATTGAATTCTTAAACGGGTAAATAATGTCTTTTCAGAACTTTTTTAGAAAATATGCACCAAGTGAGAATGGACCAAATGGGATCAGTGCTGAAGTCATGGACACTTATGTTAAAAGCTGTGGTAAGTTTTTCAGGTTAGCTTTCCATTTATGTGTTTGGGTAATAAAGTTAGCCATCTGATGAAATTACAAGTTACCTCTTCCTGGAACCTGTCAATTTTCCCCTAGGTTTATCCTATTTTTGAATAATGACAATAGGCAGGCTATGGGGAAAGTATTAGTTAGAAATAATTGTGCTTTCAATAAAAGCTTTGGATGAAAAGTGAGCTCAGCTAAGAGTGCTTTAGATAAAAACTGAGCTCAGCCAAAAGTGCTCTGTAAAGATAGTATTTCTCACAGTATTTTGGAGTCAGTACTCTTGGTTCATTCCTAGAAGTAGTAGCATGCTATAAGGATTAATTTATATTCTTCTGTCATTTTTGCTATCTTTATAAAGCTTATGTTCTTGTATATTTTATCTCTTAAGTTGTTTGTTTATAACTGAATTGTTTAAGGGAAGATAAAGAAGCTGATACTAGATTTCAACCCTGAATGGTATATGGTATATAATGGTCATAACTGTTTTTATAAATATTATATTTAGTTTTATTATATTTAGTTTTATATTTATGCCTATACATAAGCAAACAAAGCTGGAAGGAGGAAGGCTTTTTGAATATTTGACAGCTATATTTAAAATTGAATTTTTTTTATGTTTTTAGAAATTGCTTTTTTTCTTTTTTTTCAGGAGAGAGAGAATTTTTTTTAATATATATATATTTTTTTGGTGAACACAACATCTTTATTTTATTTTTATGTGGTGCTGAGGCTCGAACCCAGCGCCCCGCGCATGCCAGGCGAGCACGTTACCTCTTGAGACACATCCCCAGCCCTAGAAATTGCTTTTTGATATGTAGTATTTTTTTATTTTTCACAAAATTCCTATGAGCTAGTATTTCAGAATTTTTTGGTCATCAGGAACTTAAGTCAAATGAACCTTAATATTTTTAAAATTTGAAGAAGATAATTTTCTGTCATTATTAGGTGGTCTAATCTTCTTTTTACATAGGAGCTAAAATAAACATGTTTTTGTAAATACTATTATATAACAACATTGTAGTTTTGTAAAAGCTGTTATAATTTATATATTTGCAGGTTATATTATTGTTAGGGTACTAATGTGAAGTTAATAAGTGCCCTTACCACTCGAGTGTATTACATTTTCTGTCTTCTGGCACATCAAGATTGTTTCTCTATAATTAAAAACAAAAACAAAACTTATTTACTTTTAATTTAGGTAGCACAATTTTAAATTATGGTGCGATTGACAGTTTATTATAATTCTTTTTCAATGTCAGCTAACGTGTTCAATTTGAACTGAGAAATGCTAGATATGTTATAATTGAGATTCTTGAAACTTGGTTTAACTTTTTGATGGGAATACTATTTATAATTTGTCAAAATTTTACAAGATTTCTTTCTATTGTAAATGATAATTTCTTTTGTGTTTCAAGTCATAGATTTTTATTTATTTATTTAATTGCTACTGGGAATTGAACCCATGGTTGCTTAACCACTGAGCCACATCCCCAGCTTTTTTTTATATTTTATTTAGAGATTAGGGTCTCATTGAGTTGCTTAGGACCTTGCTAAATGCTGAGTCTGGCTTTGAACTTGTGATCCTCCTGCCTCGGCTTCCTGTGCTGCTGGAATTACAGTCGTGTGCTACTGTGCCCAGCAAGTCATAGACTTTTTAAATAGAGCCAAAGGAAATTACAAATTTGAAAATTTAGGGAGAAACCAGGTATGAAAAAGCAAGTTGAAATTAAAGTAGCACACATTGTTTTCATATTTATTCAGTGGGATACATAACCTGATTTACATGTTTTTCATAAATTTTTTTGTCTCATTTTAGCTGGATATTGTGTGATTACATATATACTTGGAGTCGGAGACAGGCATCTGGATAACCTTTTGTTAACAAAAACAGGTAACAGAATGGCTACTAGCACACACATTTTATTATGCCAATGATTTTTACTCTAGTATTTACTTACTAACAAAATAAGTTACGTAAGTTAAGATAAAGCATATATATTTTAAAAATTGGTACCTTGGAAGAACATTTAGGGAAACTCCCATCCCTTGTAACAGTTGCTTTAGTAATAATCCTGCAGATGGAAGCTCATCCAGTCTCTATTTCTGAATTTGCAGTGTCTCTGTGAAAAGCCCATAATGTATGTGAGCTGTTTAGTTTCTTCCTGTGTAGCTCTAATAAAAATGCTTTCTTTTAAAAAATATGCTTCACTCTAAAATAACATCCACCTCTAATAATCATTCTTATCCCCCTTCTTTCTGATAACTTTAGTCCCATATGTTACACACCATCTCTTTGCAAACAGTATTTAAAAATTCTCTATGTAAATCCACTTATTTAACCCAAATTGAAATATCCAACTGCTTTCTTGAAATCCTAATTATATATAGGCAGTTATAAACGTTGTCCTCTTCTGTATTATAACTTCCTAAAATCTCCTCTTACCTCATTTTCCAATCTCAATAAATAAATAGCAATATCATCCATCCATGTTTAAGCCTTAAAATCAATCTTAATACCCCTCTTGATTTAATCTTACTTAACAAACCTACTAGGAAATCTTACTTATACTTCCCTTCTAGAATAGATCGTGAAGTTGCCCACTGTCTGCATTTCTACTCTTCTATCCTACTTGAAGCCACCAACATATTTTTCTCAATTTGAATAACATCTGAATTCTTTACTATAATTCTGTGGCTTGCCTGTTTTTATAATCTGAATGTCAGATCAGACTCACAGCAGGTACCTTTGTTTCTCCTCTTTTTTGGAAAGTTCTTTTCTTTGATCTTTGCAGGACTGACATTGATTATCAGCCTTGTTCTAATGGTATTTCCTTAGAAAGCCCCTTGCTTCTTCTCTAATAACATATATGCTTTATCCTCTATTATTCTCTCTGTATGACTTGTTTTTTTTTATATCACCTATCACTAACTTAAGGTATTTTTTAATTTAATCCAAAGAATATTTATTGAGCAACTATTAGATGCTGAAGATAGCAATATAAATAGGACAGAAATTCTTGTATTTACAGAGCTCATTGACTGATAGATATCCCTTTCTGGGTGCAAGTTCTGTTACAACAGAGACCTTGTCTACTCATGATTCTACCATGCCTCTAGAACCTTGAACACCATGTATTTAAAGTGTTTAGCAAAGCAGTATTGAATGAATGAATGAATATCTCATCTCTTCTAAGTAGCTTTTCTTCTTTGGGTCAGATAATCCAAGTTTCAGCCGTCAGTAGTAAATAGACTTCCAAATTGCTTTTTAAATTGATCTCTCATATGAAGTTTTTATTTTATTTTTTTAGTATTCCTTTGTGTTATGGTAGCCAGAATTTAATGTCACTCATCAAATGTAGCCTAGTTACATGATAACCCTATTAATTCACATAATCTAGCATTTCATGTATTCATTTAAAATTATTACATGTGAAGAGTCATCTCCACATGTTATGTGGAGTTTGCATTTGTGGTGTCATATCTGTCCAGACCAGGCAGTCCCTTCAATAACCAAGACCAAAGGAGCATAACCAGGTGGTTATGGAGATTCTCAACTAATTTACCAAAGGATATTTTTAAACACATTACAGTATGTTTGGAGAGAATTGTAATTTGGAAGGTATTTTTGTACAGTTTTTTTTGTCTTGTTTTTCATTAGTTCTTTTTTGGTTGAATCTTTTAGCCACCAAGAATCAAGCTACCAAAATGGTTCTCTTTATTTCTAGAATGTAATTATTTTATATCCACATGGGATTTTCTCTTGAGTAGAATATCATTACCTCTATAATATTTAGGGATCCTGCTTATTTCTTTTGAAAATTGTTAATCAAATTTTCAAGTAATAGACTGTTTTTTGGTTGGATTTTGGGAAGTGCTTTCTCTCCTGTGTTTGGTCAGAGTAACTTTAAGAGCAAGATTTGGAAAGAGGAGTCTACTTAGTGTACCTTTTCTGTTATTTCATTTTTGAAAATTTAGTTATGAAATTTCAGAAACAGAAGTTTTAAGCTTATTACATGAGGTTTCCACTAGAGGGTGCTCCAAATTTGCCTTTAAAAAACAAAAACTTCCTTTAAAATGTAGCTAGATAAGAGGCACATTCTTTTTATTTCTTTTAGTTCAGTTTACTTAGCTGCTCTGTAATTATTTTACCCAATTATATTATGTGGTAGCATCTTAAGTCTTCCTTACTAAGGAAAAAGTTTTCAAATTCTCAGTTTAGTTTGAACAAAATTAAGACAGAAAAATAAAAGAGTAATGTATCCCTCAACTTCTAAAAATTTATTTTTAAAATTTCTGTTGTCTTTTACTGATTATATGTCAAAGCAATTTCAAGTTATATTAGTTATATATATGATATAAATACACATAAATAATAAAATGTATAGCTTGGACAAAGTGAAATTTGAATGTGGTTTATTGCACAAAATATATTTCAGTGCACTTAAAAAACTCATATTACTATAAAGTATCTTTCATTGTTTCTTTGGGGTACATTATGCATTTAACACAGATTTTAAAGCATAATGAAAATTTAGAAGTTTGGATTCTCTTACGTGATTGTCCAGTCTCTCAATCACTGATGGAGCATTTTTTAATTTATCAAGCAACATTTCTCTCGTTCTTCAAAATAAAATATTTTTGTCTACAGTTGTCGTTTGCCAGCATGGAAAGGTTTGGAGTGTGACTCTGCTTTGGATGAAACTGGTTGTGAATAACTAGAGTTCCTTTGTATCATCTACATCCTGTACCCTGCCATGAGAGACAGATCAGAGAAGGGAGATATCCTTATTTCATTTCACTGATATCTTTTTGAGAACTTGACCTTTTCAAGCTGTTCTGTCCTGTGAATATAGATGAGCCAGAAAAGGATCCAGCTAAGAGCTCTAGGCATGTGCAAAAGAAAATGATTCACTGCGTGTGGAAAATATAAAAATATACAAAGGTAATACACTAAAATGCAAACTATGAGTCTAAATTTAGATTTCCCAGAAATTTCTATTGCCCTTGCTTTATTTAGTTTTGGATGCTTTTAGTTTGGAGAACATTTCTTTGGCTTGTGCAGTAGAGGGCGCTGTGTGCCCACTGTGAAAGTAAAAGCAAGGAAATTCCTTTGTCCATGTACTGCCATGTGGTCAATCATAACATGGTTTTCTTGAAACAGATTTGGAGTGCATAATAGTTCATGTATTAGTGCATCACTATAACATTCTCTGGGAAATAAGTTGCAAATTTAAACTATAGAGAGGGATTGAAAAAATGGATTTCCCCCCCCCCCAGAATTGTTCTTAGAAAAAGCTTAAAAGAAGTCTCTTCAGGGTAATTGAATTTAGTAGGACCCTAATGAAATACCGTTCGAGTTTATCCCAACCTTGTTGAGAAAGATTTTTGTATTTATTTTTGAGAACTTGAGGAGGGAAAAGTTCAGTATAATATTAAAAATATTCATTGGTCATGTTAAATATACTTTATAATAGAGTTAATATGCAAATAAATGAAAGAGTCACAATTGAAAAAGGGAAGTGGGATCTTTACTAAATAGAAATTAGTTGAGATTCTAAGGATGGCCCCTCTGCTCTTGAGTTTTCCATCTGGAAGAGGTGGAATGTATTTTTATCTCTCTTGGAACTTTACAGTAATATGCTTTTGAGCCTTTCTCAGAAAGCTCAAAATAAAGAACAATCATTTCGATCTCCTATCATGATTTTCTTTGTCTTTTCTTAATTTTATGAGAAATTGATTAACTTTTTTTTTTTTAATTCTGAGAAAAAGTTTCAAGAAACAATGTGTTAAAGCTCTAAAGTCAAATTTTGGGAGATTTGGGGTAAAGTACTTCATATCTCCCTCTTGATTTAAATGTAGGAATACTACTAAAATCTTGTCCTTGGTGATAGTATGAGGGTTGAATGAGGTTATATAATAGAGTTCTACTTGGTACTGAGCACAGAGCACACACCTTAAGGGCTAGCTGTTAGGTATTGTTTGTTTATTTTACCACCATGAGATTAGGGTGTCTGTCATTCTTTCTTTAGCTTATGTAGTTATTTGAACTCATAAATTGAGAAAAAAGAAAATCATTAATATGTTTTAAAAATTTCTTTTTCCTACCCTTTAAAATCCAGACTTCTTTAAGGTACTTCCTTTTCTTATTCTCTTTTGAGTAATACTTTAACAATTTAGGAGTGTTTATAAGAGAAACAGTTAATGTGATTATTGATTTAATGTTATTCTTTCTGTATTTTAAGGTAAACCTTTGTATTTTAAAACTGATATTTACTATGCTTGTTTTATTTTTTCCTCAGGGGTATAATATAGTTTATAATATTTAAAACATTCTTACATGGAAAGATCTTCATTGCTCTTCAGATGGCGATGCCTCTTTGGCTATTTGCATTTTCAGTTATTGAATTTGGTATATTAAATATACCATAAAGTATAAGACCACACACTTAATGTGCTTTCTTACTTTCTGGGATGTAAAGGAAAGGAATTCAGAAAGTCTGAAGTATTTAGTAGGCAAATACTTTTAAAATGAATATAGAAACTAGGTTTTTCATGTCATTTTTATCCTTTGGGGTTTCTATGTAAACATTTCTTTCTTAAAGTTACTATTAATTACTTATTTCACTGGTTTATTCATAGTCAACATATGCATAAGAGAATCAGTCACAGATAACATTTTATCCACATTTTGTCTTTATTGATCATCCCTTCAGATGTTTAACAATTAGGACTTGTATTCATATTTTATCATTTTCTTTTAGACATTAAAATGTCTTCTTTGAAAATTGCTTGGATATTCAGTATCAAAAAAAATCAGTCTTAGCCCTATCACGAAAAAGATGAAAATGGTTAGTATAAGAGTACCTTTTTTTCCCCCAAAGTTTGTTTTAG